GGGGAATACAAAATAATTGGGTCTAAATGCGTTCTCTGGCCTTCCAAAAGTTATATCACGGCAATATGATGGTCGAGTCCTGCTTGCAATGTCCAGTTTTGACCACTAAAATCTTGGGGAAGCCCCGCGTAAATTTAGCGCAAATCTATTTATATATATGTCACATGGTTGTTTCGAAAGTTAGGTAGTGAAGATAACAACAATAGCAAGCCGTCATGTGCCATGTCGGACTCAACTAGCGGACAAGAAAGCAATACTATTCGTAAATAATTGTTATCAAAGGTCATGTATGATGCAAGTGTAGTATTCCTACCTATATGTTGTTATTATATATAACAGTATTGATACCTCGTGCCTGTCATGACTTTTGCATGCATCTTTTTCTTATGCCGCGATGTTTACATTTGGCCTTGTTGATGACGCGCGTGTGGTAAAATTACATCACTGATCTGGGTCAATTGAGAGTTTTAGACTGTCAGGTGACGATTTAGGATTTCTTTGATATAATTATAATTTTTACTCTTAGAGAGTGAATTTCAGCAAATTTTGTAATGGTATATTTCATAAGAAGGTATTTTAAACATGTGTATGCCATTTTAGCAAATATGACATTTTTTTCCCCGACCAGCCCCTATTATTTGGACTTTTCTACGACATAAAATATACAACATGTACATACAGGGATCATTAATCTAGACCTGATTCACTACCGTTTATGGGTAGTTTCCCCTACAGAAGAACATTCCTGTTCTTTGAAATTCTCCCTATATGTGCTTCAAAATTCCCCTTTCAAGAAGAAAATAGTGTTTTTTCTTCAAAATATTTCCATTAAATGTTTTCTAAAGTTCAACAGTTAAAGTGCATATATACATTTTCTTCACATAATTTATACAAAAATTCTACAATTTTGAGCTTATTTTTTTTTTTTATAAATTGCCATATACTGCACAAATGTATGTCGGACAAAACATTTGTCTTTTGCCTCATGGCGCTAGAGCCTTGTATCAAAATATTAAATTTCCCCCCAAATCTGAAAAAGAGTCGATTCCCCTAAAAAAACTACATTGATCCCTGTGTTAGCTCTGTGATAATTAGGTAGCTGATGATGATGAAAATATTTAGGCTTGCTAGGATCAATATTTATTTTATTTATTTATTCATTTATTGTGAAACATTCATGGCGTATTGTGACACCTACAGTATGTACCGTATGAAGAGTGCTTCAATTTAGTAGTAACTGATACATTTTTTGTTGTGAAATGTTTTTGATTTGTTTTTCCAGATGCGAGGTGGAACAGAAAGCCAATATGGAAACGGGGGATTTTGGTAGGCCCGGTTTGCTAACTAGACCAAACGCCGCTCGGCCACCAATACCGTCATTAGATGAAAGGATGGCCACCTGGAAGGAAGTCAGTGACATATTCTATGGGCCTGAAAGAGACCTCAAAAACTTTCCTTCTCCTAAACAGCAGGTTGATGCACCCGGGATTCGGTTCGGATTTGTCCCAGAGTCATTCTTCGAGTTTCTCTACACAAAAACAGGAATCATGGGTGTGTATGGCATTTCATGCAACCTACACTGAATTGAAAAAGAAATGCAATCACTGGAAATCATTTGATTTTATTGATTATTGATCTTTTATTTTATTCAGTTTTGCATTAGGGATCCTTTCTGATTATGACTGTGGAGCTTTCAATAAATCACATGTATAACTTAGATGCCCATGATGACTGTTCCAAATTAAAGCCAATTAGAACCATGACGTCCTCCTGCAGACAGAATAATACATTGATTCAAAAGTCACACTCAGAAAGCCCAGAAAAAAAAATGTTTCCAATAACATGTTTGATTTTTAAGCTGCTCTTGGCGAGAGCCGAGCAGCTTATTAATTCTGTCCAGAGAACGAAATGACAGACCCACTTCCGTTCGGGGTGCGTGCGAATAATTCAGTATTGCATGCTTCCGCTATATAGTTTCGTTATCGTAAATAGAAAGTAGAATCTCTGACACTCACCTGTGGGTTACATAAAGTCTTCTGATACTCTTCTCCAAATAATAATCCATACTTTAAATAATTGCTGAAAACAAAATGTTTATCTCCGGTGCATTCTACTAGTGTTGTGGTGGTGAAATTCGTACACTAGGTTTGAGCGTTTTAGCAACTCGGATTGCGGTCTGGGGAGTGTTACGCGTGTGAAACACATATGATTCGAGAAAGCACATGTGAAGACTGTCAAGCATTGATGCTGTCTGTAGAAGGAAGAAGTAAATATATAAACTTATAAACCGTATGAGTGATGAAGTATAAACTCTATTTTGATGTTTGAAACGGCAACGTATATATGCCATATCGTGCTTAGGTTGATAACGGTAGACTAATGGCTCCGAGACGAGACGATATGTGAACTGTGTATGCTTATCAAACATTTTTGTAACACAGCATGCTATTTACAATGTCTCTTTTCTCCATGCATGTTTTCCCACTACTGTTAATTATGCTTCATTTCACAAGCAAAAAATGCACCTATTCTTTATTATCCATTCACCGATTGCCATTCTGCACGTAAACGCTCATGTCACATCATTGAAGGATGCTAATTAATGAAAATTACAACAATGCGTCACACTTAAAGAGGGTGAAAAAAGAGGAGAGGGAGAAATGTTTTTAAGGCATCATTTAAGAGGTGATTGATTTTGAAAATCCTAAACGCAACATCATCAGATGACCTGATTTTCAATTAGCAGAATACAGAACACATATCTGAGGTATTATAATAGATTTTTATGCTCAACGTGTCACTGAAGCAATTAAATTTAAAGTGGTGAGCGGCTGTAATGTCACACTGACATAATTCTAGTTTTTATATAGAGTAGGTAGGTAAGTAGGTAGCAAGTTTTTTTTTTAAATTTGATGTTGTTTATATATATATAGGAGAGTGGTCTTGACTTTTTTGAAAAAAATTGCCTTCAAAAGTTTAGGGAAGGCACAAAAAAATCAGGGTCGGTAGGGTTAATGGAAACACCATATATTTTTGTTTAGCCTAAACTGTCTTGCACATCCTCCATACTCCAGGGGTTACATTCACTTTCACTCTCTGCACCCCTGGAATATGTCATAGCAAAATTGAAGGTACGCAGCTAGCTATTTGATTAGTCTTGGATGGGGGAAAAAAACCTGACCAATCACTTAGGCTGATATACCTGTCCTTTGAAGATTTAGGGGAGGAGCGACATCCAACTTCGAGGACTGTCAATTTAACCGTTACACGAGCGACATATTCTTTTAATGTACATCAAAGGATCAAACAAGTCTTCTGTCTTATCAAATAGGTAGTGCGCAATGAGCCTTCAATTTTGCTATGGCATATTCCAGGGTGCAAAGAGTGTAATGAGCATAATCCCTGTAGTATCGAGGGTGCTCCTTGCCTAATCATCATGATTTCTCCTATTTTAAGTATAAATCAACATAAAAACGGGCAAGGACTTTCTGAAGTCGACAGATCTTTCCATTGCACCTTTTAATTATGTAATAAAGATACCCTGTGAGATCAAGTTGCTAAACTCATTTGGAGTCCTATAACAACCAACCATTTGCTGTCTCATCTGAAGACTTCATAGCATTTTGTTTCTATTTTCAGGTCCATATTTATTGCTGTTTGGCACTCCAGCATACATGTTTTCCAAAGAAATCATGTCGCCTGATTATGAAGTTGCAGAGCTTCTCATTGTTTTAATTCCTGGATATTTCCTCATCACTAAGATAAACGAAGGCAACAGAGTCGTAGATTTCGTTAAAGCTAAACGTGAGGTAAGCAAATACAGTGTTGTTGTTTTGTGTGTCTGGTTTTACAGCTTATTACAGGCTGCTAGCTATAGACCAAGTAAAAATGTTCTTTATTATCCCAAAATGAAGAGTATCTTCCCAATTTCAATAAAAATACTGTTTTTCCCAATTTAGGTAGGAAAAACACTGCAATATACTACAGTTTTCATCATAATATTTCCAATTTTTAAAAATGAGCTAATTTATTATTGCCTCCCAACGAAAGTTCCAGGGATATCGGATTCCACCCGTACATATCTACCATATGTTGCACTCTTTGTCATTGCTCTAGCAACTTCATTTCTCTACAGAATTTCATTTAACTTTTTGCAAGTGTTTCGTATGACAATGCCTTGAACAAGTTCACGTTTCAGATTTCTACGTTGAAAGGTCAAGGTGACTTACATTTTTTTTAGAAAATCTTTGTCATCGCTCTAGCCACTTCATTCCTCAACGGAATTTCATGAAACTCCTACATATATACACATTGAATGTGTGAATGTGAGGGGATTTGTATCACTTGTGATGCCTTGTTTATATAATGACATGGTGCAATGTGTTGCCAGCTATCAAATTCAATCTCAACTGAACTGAAAGGCTAGCCATTGTGGCATTCATTTTAATCTTTCATACATCTAAAACTTTTCATATATTTGACATAAGAGACCAAGGTATCTTTGTTTGCCTCCTCATAAGTTCCCTAACCCTTACAGCTATGGGGAGCTGAGCAGGGTCCGGTACTGGTTGTTGTAGACAACTTTCAAAAATGATGCTTCAAGTACATCATTGTACCTGAAAAAGCTGTGTGAAGTCATATGTCAGTGATTTAAAGGCTAATAAATTAAGTTTCTTCATATTAAGTATAACAGATCCCAACATGGGGTAACACAAAGGGGTGAAAGTTAAATAGGGTAAATATAATTATAGATTTTGAGAAACAAAGTGTCTCTTCAAAAACTGTTGGATTATAGTGGGACAACTGGATTTGTGGAGGCTGGATAAAAGGGAGACAACTGGGTTAACAGGATTCAACATTAACAGTAGCTATAGCCCTCTATAGTAGTCTGCCGAGACTAGTAGATTTTGAACTAGTGAATCAGTAAACATTACAGGTCCTGTGGAATGGCATTGTAAAAAATATGTTTCCACAAAATAGCTCATGGTGTTTTTTAGCATAATGTGATCAGGAGCGACATTTTCCCCCCCAAGACTTGTCAATTCAACTTTGGATTTATTTCATAGGAATTGGATGAATATTGGTACAAGCCAATGGTTGACTTGGCTAAAAACACTGATGTGGCAATTGAGGGGGCAAAAACAGCCATATACCAGCAAGAGGCACTGGAATATATGTTTGATGCTAAAAAGGTAAGGTTTAACGCTTATGGTTTTGGAAAGAAAAATCTTAACTGTATCATACATGTATGCATTGATATGCTTTTTAGGAAAGAGTGTACGTATTATACCGTATACTTGGAAAAGTTTTGCCACAGTTTAATTTTCCGACTTTTTTGCCCACCGTAACTTGCGAGGGTTAAAAATGTCTCAAAGTAGCTGCCAAAATTCTGAAATATTATGCTTTTGTGGGGTTTTTTTTATCTTAAAATTGTAAAAAAAAATAACAAAAAAAACCCTGGCTGCTTCAATAAGATAATCACGATTTGCTTTCGTCTGACAGTCTTAGAAAAAATGTGAAAGATTTCATTTCCATATGTATGTGACTACCTTGGAATTATTATGTTCTAATGTTTTCCATTCCATAGATAAATCATTAACATGCACAATCTTACAAAAGGAAGTGGTGCTGTGGTCACTATGTCAGACCCAATACTACTCTAGACTTCTTACTAGACAAAGGGTTTGTTGTTATATCAAGTACCAAGGCCATCGATCTATCTGGAGCCAAATTTTATTTTTTTGAAATGAAATGAAATATTTTCCTGCCAGATGACTTTTTTTCCTCAAAATATCTGGCCTGAGAAACCAAAATTGATTTTGTATACATTTATATAGTATAGTACTAGAGGCAACTGGGAAGGCATATATTTATGGATATTCATCTGGAGTATTTGAATCAAACTTTTGATTTAAAAATACAGTTTTGATCCTGATTTGTTGAAATTATACAGATACAATGTATTGATTGTGATTATGCCTCTTCAGTGTTGTATATATACATGTATGTCATTGTCTGCTTTGTTTGATGTTATGTATTTGTGTGTATTTTAAAACAGTTTTAAAGATTTTTGTCGGGTTGTTGCAGGAGAATGTGGGCCTACAGCTTGAAATTGAATACAGACAGAGACTGCAGTCATTGTATGATCAAGCGAGGCGAAAACTGGTCAGTATATGTATTTCTATACTTAACAGAGACCACAGTATTTCATTAATTGTAGGTACTGGTATTGGATGATAGTCTTGTAAAGGTACTAATACAATCTATCCTATACAACCATGAAACCCAATCTGTAGGTCTAATTAATAACTTTTATCTGGTTTTCGATCTGATTGTAAATGTGGAAGTTAATTAAGGTCTTTTAACTCATTCACCCCTGAAGACACATTTGAACTCTTCCAATTCAGAGGTTGGAATAGTTCATTATGAAATTTCAGGGGTGAATGAGTTAAATTATACTACTCTCTTGACTTTCCTTCAATGCATAGGGAAAAATCAGAATTCAGTTTGGCAGTGATCATGTGTTAGGATATGAGAATCAGTTAAATTTAACAATGTTGGATTGTATATTGTGTGCAGATACAAACTAGTCAACCATATGCAGATGGTGGGGATTAAAAGAGTGTTATCATATCTACAAATGCAGGGATAAATAGAGTCTATTATATATAGGAAAATAAAATAAAATGTGGACTTGATAAATGACCCATGCACATTTAAAAGAGGAGAAAGTATGTATTGAGACTACTGGGTGTCGGTCAGGTAATTGTGATACATGTACCTGACATTATAAATTTGAAAAGAAAAACAACCTATTACCAGCTATGGTCATTTAAGGATAACTACAAGCCAGGTTTTGGTGATGAAGGAAAACTGGAGTACCTGGAAAAAAACCAATGACCTGTGGAAATTACCTGGTGACAGCCACAGTTGTAGGCTTCAAACCCGCAACCAACTGATGGAGGGCCAGTAATTGTGGACGGTCAGATGCCTTAATTACCACTTGGCCGCCACGGCTCCCTTAATCCATAGGAAAACCCCATAAACCAATCAGAGTTATATATATAGCATTTAAGGTTGCGTGATTGATAAACTTCCTTGTAATTTTGTAGGATTACCAGGTGGCCAATGTGAACGCTAGGAAGAACTTTGAGCAGGGACACATGGCAAGATGGATCAACAAGGCTGTGTACAGTAGCGTCACTCCACAACTGGTACGTCACAGCTAAATTTCCTTTCTTAAAAAGTTTAATCATTTAGTAAAAATTATCATATTTCTCTGTGATGTCTTGGGTTTTTGAATCTAGCAAAAAACATACCTGTGATTTGTTTTCCTTAGATTGAATATAAAGTATTAATCTCTGGCATTTAATGTTTATTTTTGACCAAAATTTTAACTAGTGCAACATGAAACTTGAGATCAACATAACTGCCTGTGTTACATAGGTCAATCTTTGACTTAAATAGACCTGCATTTACTGTCCAATTAAGATGATCTATTGGCAATTTCAGAAGCTAACTGTATACCAGGATGTTTTTCGACAGTTTATTTTATGCCTTTTTCGTCCTTTGTTATGAAGGCAAATACAACATGCTGTACATAAGAATAACATGTTAAGATGATCTATTGGCAATTTCAGAAGCTAACTGTATACCAGGATGTTTTTCGACAGTTTATTTTATGCCTTTTTCGTCCTTTGTGATGAAGGCAAATACAACATACTGTACATAAGAATAACATGTTAAGGGCGAAATTAACACTGCACGAAAATGGATTCTTCAAGTGAAGGGCAAAAATTTTCTCTTGGCGAAAATGCAGTAATGCAGTATAAAGTAATTCTTTTACATGTAAATGATTATCAACTGAAAAATATTGTATGTTGCAGGAGAAACAGATAATGGACGGTTGTTTGGCCAATCTCCGTGAACTGTCAAAAACATTCAAAGCTACATAATAGCTGGAGAAAGACACTAGAACAATATAGTGGGCAGGAGATGATGTGTTTCATCTCAGGGACATCGTAAAACTGTTCTCAAACTCTGCAACATGCATTTGTGTGGAATAACAGTGGAGAGAAAAGGGTGAAACTAGAGTGATAAAATACTGGTCTGGCTTGATAAAGAACCAGTGCTGTGCTGTTGTCCGTATTTAGAAGGTCATTTTTGAAATTAAAATATTCTTATGAAAAAAAGTTGTGTCATTATTTAACTCAAATGTGTGCCAAATTTTATAGAGAAAAAAAAATGGACAAATATCATTCGCCTTTATGATGATTATACGTGTATACTGATGATTCAGAGTATTGAGTTTTGCTTTATTAGATCTGGTGTTATCAATTACAAAAAAAATTTGAGAAGACCAAACACCTAGATATCTTATATTTAGTAAAGGTGACCTACCAACACTAGCAAATAGGAGACATCAAGGTGACATGATCAAAATGTACAAAATTGTAAACAATATAAGACGGAGGGATGCCCATGTACTTTGTTAATTTTGGAGTGATGGTTCAATCAGAAACGGTACAAGAGGAAACTCAAAAACAATATTACTGTGTTAGTCAACAGCATCCACCCCGAGGTAAAAACTATTCACATTATGTACGATCAAAACCAGGAACTATCTTCCAGAGGATGTCGTATCTACTCCAAATTATATCAACAATAGATCAACTTTGGCAGCATGAGAAACTTTATTGTGCAAATGTAATTGACAATGAATTTTAAATCATGCAATTATTTAATTTTTGAGTCCAGTGTAGTGGAGCTATATCGGCTCCTGTATTTGAAACTAACTTTATCTTGCCTTGACCTCTGGCCCACCATGTCCATATTTCAACTTTTTATAAATCATATTTTTAATGTAAAACGTAAATAAACCAGTGAAATTTAAAAACAGAATTGTCGAAGAAATACAGCAGCTAGAATTATGACATAAGGCAAGATATTCAGTTTAAATGACGGTGACCTTGATATAACCTCGCGTGTATATACTGTAATGCTGGTAATATTCGTAGGGAAATTAATTTTGCTGTATTCATGGTCATCAAAATACCCAACAAAATTCCATTTTGCAGACAAAGAAAAACACTTTTTAGCTCACCTGGCCCGAAGGCGTCAATATTTTACTTTAAACAACTTCTCCTGAATAACCAAGAGGCCCAGGCTGCTTACATTTGGCCAATAGCATGCTGGGATGAAGGGCTACCAAGTTGCTCGAATGAAAGACCTTGACCCACTTTTAAGGTCACAGGGGCCAAATGTCGTAAAATCTTCAAACGACTGCTACTGAATGACCAAAAGGCCCAGGGTACTGAAATTGGGCCTGTAGCATGCTGGGATAAAGGACTACCAAGTTTGTTCAAATGAACGACATTGACTCACTTTCAAGGTCACAGGGGTCAAATATATTAAAATCTTCAAACGACTTCTTCTTAACAACCAAAAGGCCCAGGGTACTGATATTGGTCCTGTAGCATGCTGGGATGAATGGTAACAAGTTTGTTCAAATGAATGACATCGACCCACTTTCAATGTCACAGGGGTCAAATGTCTTCAAATCTTCAAACCACTTCTCAATAACCAAAAGGCCCAGGGTACTGAAATTGGGCCTGTAGCATGCTGGGATAAAGGACTACCAAGTTTGTTCAAATGAATGACTTTGACCCACTTTTAAGATTACAAGTGTGAGATTAATACCAGGTGAGCGATATTGGGCCTATTGTTTAACTGTTCACAGCTGAATATTGAAGAAAAAACAATTAAATATCATATTTTACTTCCACAAAACATTTGTAAAATATATCCAATCACAAAAGTACCTGCACCAGTGATATATTTCTACCTAGTAACATCGCGCAGAATCCCTGGGAATTAATTATGATAGGGACAACTGCAAAATACAGCCCCTCCGCATTAAACAATTATACAGTATTCAAACTTGAAAGTTACTTCAAGCTGATGTGAAATTCATGGTAACCTTATTACGGTGATGGATGTACATGACCATTAAACGTAACAACTTCTCTTGAATTGCTAATTGGAATCTAACTAAGTTTGTTCAAATGAATGACCTTGACCCACTTTCAAGGTCACAGGGTTCAACTGTCTTCAAATCTTCAAACAACTTATTAATAACCAAGAGGCCTAGGAGCATGATATTTGGCCAGTAACATGCTGGGATGAAGGATTAACAAGTTTGTTCAAATTAATGACCTTGACCTGTATTCAAGGTCACAGCTGGGGTCTAATATGTTTAAAACCTTTAAACGGCTTCTCAAGAAGCAAAAGGCAAAGGGTGATATTTGGCCATTAACATGCTGGGATGAAGGACTACCAAGTTTGTTCAAATGAATGACCTTCGCCTAAATCCAAGGTCACAGTGGTCAATATATGTTTAAATCTTTAAATGACTTGTTCTGCATAACCAAAAGGTCCAGGGGTACTGATATTTTTCCAGAAGCATGCTAGGTTGGAAGACTATAAACTCTGTTCAACCTAACGTCCTTGTTCAACATTCAAGGTCATATGTTTAAATCTTTCAATAGGTTCTTATGAATCAAACTCTGATATTCTGCTTGTAGCTGTATTTTAGTCCATTTTTAGCTCACCTGGTCCAAAGGACCATAGTGAGCTTATGCCATACCGCAGCGTCCGTCCGTCCGTCAACTTTTCCTATAAAATGCTACTAGTCATGAACAACTGAGCAGATTTTAACCAAATTTGGTCAGAAGCATCCTTGGGGGAAGGGGAACCAATTTTGTATAAACCGTGGGCCCAATAGGGGAAACATAGCAAATTATTTTTCAAAATCCTTCTTCTTCTGTAGGAATGGAAGGATTTGGTCCATAATTGGTCAGAAGCATTCTTGGTTGAAGGGGAACCAATTTTGTATAAACGGTGGGTGTGGCCCCCTTGAGGGCTGAGGGGCGGGGCCTAATAGGGGAAATATAGCAATTTCTTAAAAATCCTTCTACTTTTGTAGGAATGAAAGGATTTGTTCCATATTGGGTCTGAAGCATCCTTGGATGAAGGGAAACCAATTTTGTATAAACCATGGGTCTGGCCCCCCAGGGGCCTTAAGGGAGGGGCCCAATAGGGGAAACATAGCAAATTATTGTTTAAAATCCTTCTTCTTCGTAGGAATGAAAGGATTTAGTCCATATTTTGTGTGGATCATTTTTTGGGTAAAGGGGAACCATTTTTTTTTATAAACGGTGGGTGTGGCCCCCCCTGAGGGCTGAGGGGCGGGCCTAATAGGGGAAACAGCAAATTATTCTTCAAAATCCTTCTTCTGTAGGAATGAAAGGATTTGTTCCATAATGGTCTGAAGCATCCTTGGATGAAGGGGAACCAATTTTGTATAAACCGTGGGTCTTGCCTCCAAGGGGCCTGAGGGGAGGGGCCCAATAGGGGAAACATAGCAATTTATTCTTTAAAATCCTTCTTCTTCTGTAGGAATGAAAGGATTTGGTCAATATTTGGTGTGGAGAATTTTTGGGTAAAGGGGAACCAATTTTGTATTAACGATGGGTCTGGCCCCCCTGAGGGCTGAGGGGCGGGGCCTAATTGGGAAAATATAGCAAATTCTTAAAAATCCTTCTTCTTCTGTAGGAATGAAAGGATTTGGTCCATATTTGGTGTGGAGCATCCTTGGGTAAAGGGGAACGAATTTTTGATAAACGACGGGTGTGGCCCACCTGAGGGGGGGGGGGGGCCAACAGGGGAAATGGAAATAGAGGTAAAACCTTTACAATCCTTCTTCTACCATAGGGATTAAGGGATATTATCCTAATTTAGTCTGGAGCTACCTTGGGCAAAAGGGACTTAATTTCATATAAACAGCGAGTGTGCCCCCCCTGGGGGCAGAAGGGAGGGGAAATATAGGAAATTCTTCAATGGCAGGATTTTGTTAAAATTTGGTATGAAGCACCCTTGGGTGAAGGGGAACCAATTTTGTATAAACAGTGTGTCTGACCCCCCTAGAGGCAGAGAGGCAGGGCCAAATAGGGGAAATAGAGGTAAGACTTTTAAAATCTTAATTCTACCATAAGGATTAAGGGATTGTATCCTTATTTAGTCTGGAGCATCCTTGGGTCAAGGGGACTCAATTTTGTATAAATGGCGGGGATGACCCATTTAGGGCATAAGGGTGGGGCTCTGTTTGAAGTTTGTTCTCGCTATATCTCAAGTACTTGATGGATCTTTCTGAAATTTCATATGTACTTACAGCACCTACCATGGAATGCTATATCTTTACTTCATATCAATTATTTTAAACATATATTCAGGTGAGCGATACAGGTCCTCTGGGCCTCTTGTTAAGATTACAAGTGTGAGATTAACACCGGTGAGCGTTTCAGGCCCATTGGGCCTCTTGTTTTTTTTTACATTTTGTGTGTCTTTGTTTGAGACATTGCCTGTAAGTAATAATAGAGTAATTAGTAAAATCAAAAATCGAATCAAAAGAAAATGCAAGTGCAAGAATTGGTCGTCTTCCAATAAACAAGAGGCCCCAAAGACATGTATCGCTCACCTGGCTGATAAAGCAACCATTGAAAATTATTCTTGTTACATATAAAACTGCAACTATTTCCAAAGATTGGCTCTGTTTCACAGCAACATCTGTCCCTCATTAGATCCCTCTTTCTAACCCCATGAATAGGGGTGGATTTTCAACATTCACCTCAATTTCACCTATTGGGCTCCATCCCTCTGCCCCCTAAAAGCAACCCTCCATTTATACAAAATTTCATGCAATTTTTAGCATTTGAGTAGACCCCATATTTCAGGCTGTTAATTTTATTAAACCGATCATACGATAGTGTGTTTTCAAAATGAAATTTGGTTCTTACTGAATAAAGTACTGGGGTAATTAAATACAAGCTGTAGTTGTCTATTTTGGTCACATTATGAAGTGATAACTCCATATGTCCTAGATGGATTTGTCATCTTTTCAATTACGCCGAAATATAAGTGATCAAGCGTCTTGTTGAACGAAACTATACATGGCTTTGATGTTATTCCGTCTTTTCGTATTGCAGAGTTATCTGCTCTTATGAGCAGGGATTGATTGTTACATCATTAGTTTGTGTGGGAAAATTACGTTGTTTTCTCAAAAAATGATGACGTAACTCTCACAAACAAATGACATTACAATCAATACCTGCTCATAAGAGCAGATAACTCTGCAATACGAAAAGACCGAATAACATCAAAGCCATGTATAGTTTCGTTCAACAAGACGCTTTATCACTTATATTTCGGCGTAGCTTGCGCAGACAACAAGAGTCTGGTTGAACGAGACTAAGCCATTTATGAAAAAAATCCTTGTGCTCAACTAGAGTTATCGCCTCATTACTTGCCCAAAATTGAAAACTTATCCTTATTCTTATTTAATCTGGACTCTGATCATCCAGATAAATTTAAACACTCCTTTCTTCAAGTAGTGGATTTTCAGTTTCGATAATCTGGAATATTGATCACACCAGATGACTATCTAACCAAAACCACAGGGACCAGATAATTCTTTTACGGTTATATTTGGGCCTAAACTAAGGTGTTCAGAGTAAATTGATATGTTTTAGGGGTTTACATCGACTTTCGGTAAAAAGTAATGCCACCCCAAATAATAATAGATAATCATCATTGGGGTGGCATTTTTACCGAAGGTCAATTTAAACCCCTTTGAATGTGTATAATAACTCTGAACACCTTAGTTTAAGAACACATATAGCTGTAATGAATTCTCCGGTTCCTGTGACCAAAACGCCTGGATACCTGGGGATCTCATTTCTAAGAGAAGATTTATGATTTAACAAACAACAAAAACATTTTGACCTAGAAACAGTTATATTTTATCAATACAAAAATATATGCGGAGTAAAATTTTGATACTATTTTTTGTTTGTTATAGATATATTTTATAAATTGTTGATAAAAACAACAACAACATTTAAGCCTATTTTTCACCCTTCCTGTTTATCATTGACTGATAGGTTTCATATTTCCTTTTCATGGACAGTGGCTTTTATCCCTCTTCACGGACAGTGACCTTCACCCCTTATTCCTCGTCATTTCTGACCTTCACCCTTTCTTCTCGCAGTCAATGATGACCTTGACCCCTTCGCCAGATTTAGCAGTTTCAAAGGCCTTCAGTGTTTCCTCCAGAGAGAACATGTGGGTGATGAGAGGTTTAACATCGATTTTTCCACAGGACATCATCTCAAGACATGTTGGCCAGCTGGAGAGACAACAAAACATGTGGTTACACATCCATAACATTGTAAATATAAGTATACCGGGAAACTTTCGCCCAGTCACATATTTGCCCTTTTGCCAATAAAATCAGTGTTCGCCTAGTGTTATCTATACATTGTATAATATGTACTCATATTTGCGCTGTCATGATAAATTTGCCCTCATTCGGGAGGGCGAAAAATGCTAAAATTTCTCGGAATACAGTTTGGGTTTATAGGGTTTAACGCCCTGTCAACAGCTGATGTCATTTAAGGACCTGGTATACAGTATAAATTCTATTCATAAAATTTACCAAGAAACGACCCGGATGTTTCCATGTTCCGTTAAAAGAAAAAGTTAGTTGATTGATTTAAACTGTTAGCAGTCATCAATAATATCATCATCAACGTTTTTACTTAAACTCACACAAAATATAGAAGCATAAAAACCCACAGCCGGTCACATTTATACAAAAAAGGGAGGGGAGCCAACGCCCAGTTTCTGTGCTTGATGTCGTGCCACTCCCCCCTGCCATAACCTGTGCTTGGTGTCGTGACACTCCACCCTTTCATAATCTGTACTTGATGTCATGACACTACCCCCTCACATAAACTGTACTTGATGTCATGACACTCCCCCCATTCATAACCTGTACTTGATGCCGTGACACTCCACCCTATGACACCCTGTACTTGATGTCGTGACACTCTACCCTGCCATAACCTGTGCTTGATGGCGTTATACTGCGTCCTATCATAACCTGTACTTGATGTTGTGACACTCCACCCTGCCATAACCTGTTCTTGATACCATGACACTCCACCCTGTCATACCCTGTACTTGATGTTATAACACTCCTCCCTGTCATAACCTGTATTTGATGTCATGACACTCCCCCCATTCATAACCTGTACTTGATGCCGTGACACTCCTCCCTGCCATAACCTGTGCTTGGTGTCGTGACACTCCACCCTGTCATAACCTGTACTTGATGTTATGACACTCCACCATGTCATAACCTGTACTTGCTGTCATGACACTCAACCCTGTCATAACCTGTACATGATGTCATGACACTCCACCCTGTCATAACCTGTATGTGATGTCATGACACTCCACCCATTCATAACCTGTACTTGATGTCATGACACTCCACCCTGTCATAACCTGTACATGATGTCATGACACTCCATCCTGTCATAACCTGTACTTGATGTCGTGACACTCCATCCTGTCATAACCTGCAGTTGATACCGTGACACTCCACCCTATCATAACCTGTACTTGATGTCATGACACTCCTCCCTGTCATAACCTGTACTTGATGTCATGACACTCCACCCTGTCATAACCTGTACTTGATGTCGTGACACTACACCCTGTCATAACCTGTACTTGATGTCATGACACTCCACCCTGTAATAACCTGTACTTGATGTCATGACACTCCTCCCTGTCATAGCCTGTACTTGATGTCATGACACTCCACCCTGTCATAACCTGTACTTGATGTCATGGCACTCCTCCCTGTCATAACCTGTACTTGATGTCACGACACTCCTCCCTGTCATAACCTGTACTTGATGTCATGACACTGCACCCTGTCATAACCTGTACTTGATGTCGTGACACTCCACCCTGTCATAATCTGTACTTTATGTCGTGGCACTCCATCCTGTCATAACCTGCTGTTGATACTGTGACACTCCACCCTGTCATAACCTGTACTTGATGTCATGACACTCCTCCCTGTCATAACCTGTACTTGATGTCATGACACTCCACCCTGTCATAACCTGTACTTGATGTCGTGACACTCCACCCTGTCATAACCTGTACTTGATGTCATGACACTCCACCCTGTCATAACCTGTACTTGATGTCATGACACTCCACCCTGTCATAACCTGTACTTGATGTCATGACACTCCACCCTGTCATAACCTGTACTTGATGTCATGACACTCCACCCTGTCATAACCTGTACTTGATGTCATGACACTCCACCCTGTCATAACCTGTACTTGATGTCATGACACTCCACCCTGTCATAACCTGTACTTGATGTCATGACACTCCACCCTGTCATAACCTGTACTTGATGTCATGACACTCCACCCTGTCATAACCTGTACTTGATGTCATGACACTCCACCCTGTCATAACCTGTACTTGATGTCATGACACTCCACCCTGTCATAACCTGTACTTGATGTCATGACACTCCACCCTGTCATAACCTGTACTTGATGTCATGACACTCCACCCTGTCATAACCTGTACTTGATGTCATGACACTCCACCCTGTCATAACCTGTACTTGATGTCATGACACTCCACCCTGTCATAACCTGTACTTGATGTCGTGACACTCCACCCTGTCATAACCTGTACTTGATGTCATGACACTGCACCCTGTCATAACCTGTACTTGATGTCATGACACTGCACCCTGTCATAACCTGTACTTGATGTCATGACACTCCACCCTGTCATAACCTGTACTTGATGTCATGACACTCCACCCTGTCATAACCTGTACTTGATGTCATGACACTCCACCCTGTCATAACCTGTACTTGATGTCATGACACTCCACCCTGTCATAACCTGTACTTGATGTCATGACACTCCACCCTGTCATAACCTGTACTTGATGTCATGACACTCCACCCTGTCATAACCTGTACTTGATGTCATGACACTCCACCCTGTCATAACCTGTACTTGATGTCATGACACTCCACCCTGTCATAACCTGTACTTGATGTCATGACACTCCACCCTGTCATAACCTGTACTTGATGTCATGACACTCCACCCTGTCATAACCTGTACTTGATGTCATGACACTCCACCCTGTCATAACCTGTACTTGATGTCATGACACTCCACCCTGTCATAACCTGTACTTGATGTCATGACACTCCACCCTGTCATAACCTGTACTTGATGTCATGACACTCCACCCTGTCATAACCTGTACTTGATGTCATGACACTCCACCCTGTCATAACCTGTACTTGATGTCATGACACTCCACCCTGTCATAACCTGTACTTGATGTCATGACACTCCACCCTGTCATAACCTGTACTTGATGTCATGACACTCCACCCTGTCATAACCTGTACTTGATGTCATGACACTCCACCCTGTCATAACCTGTACTTGATGTCATGACACTCCACCCTGTCATAACCTGTACTTGATGTCATGACACTCCACCCTGTCATAACCTGTACTTGATGTCATGACACTCCACCCTGTCATAACCTGTACTTGATGTCATGACACTCCACCCTGTCATAACCTGTACTTGATGTCGTGACACTCCACCCTGTCATAACCTGTACTTGATGTCATGACACTCCACCCTGTCATAACCTGTACTTGATGTCATGACACTCCACCCTGTCATAACCTGTACTTGATGTCATGACACTCCACCCTGTCATAACCTGTACTTGATGTCATGACACTCCACCCTGTCATAACCTGTACTTGATGTCATGACACTCCACCCTGTCATAACCTGTACTTGATGTCATGACACTCCACCCTGTCATAACCTGTACTTGATGTCATGACACTCCACCCTGTCATAACCTGTACTTGATGTCATGACACTCCACCCTGTCATAACCTGTACTTGATGTCATGACACTCCACCCTGTCATAACCTGTACTTGATGTCATGACACTCCACCCTGTCATAACCTGTACTTGATGTCATGACACTCCACCCTGTCATAACCTGTACTTGATGTCATGACACTCCACCCTGTCATAACCTGTACTTGATGTCATGACACTCCACCCTGTCATAACCTGTACTTGATGTCATGACACTCCACCCTGTCATAACCTGTACTTGATGTCATGACACTCCACCCTGTCATAACCTGTACTTGATGTCATGACACTCCACCCTGTCATAACCTGTACTTGATGTCATGACACTCCACCCTGTCATAACCTGTACTTGATGTCATGACACTCCACCCTGTCATAACCTGTACTTGATGTCATGACACTCCACCCTGTCATAACCTGTACTTGATGTCATGACACTCCACCCTGTCATAACCTGTACTTGATGTCATGACACTCCACCCTGTCATAACCTGTACTTGATGTCATGACACTCCACCCTGTCATAACCTGTACTTGATGTCATGACACTCCACCCTGTCATAACCTGTACTTGATGTCATGACACTCCACCCTGTCATAACCTGTACTTGATGTCATGACACTCCACCCTGTCATAACCTGTACTTGATGTCATGACACTCCACCCTGTCATAACCTGTACTTGATGTCATGACACTCCACCCTGTCATAACCTGTACTTGATGTCATGACACTCCACCCTGTCATAACCTGTACTTGATGTCATGACACTCCACCCTGTCATAACCTGTACTTGATGTCATGACACTCCACCCTGTCATAACCTGTACTTGATGTCGTGACACTCCACCCTGTCATAACCTGTACTTGATGTCATGACACTCCACCCTGTCATAACCTGTACTTGATGTCATGACACACCACCCTGTCATAACCTGTACGTAATGTCATGACATTCCACCCTGTCATAACCTGTACTTGATGTCGTGGCACTCCATTCTGTCATAACCTGCAGTTGATACCGTAACACTCCACCCTGTCATAACCTGTACTTGATGTCGTGACACTCCATCCTGTCATAACCTGCAGTTGATACCGTGACACTCCACCCTGTAATAACCTGTACTTGATGTCATGACACTCCTCCCTGTCATAACCTGTACTTGATGTTATGACACTCCACCATGTCATAACCTGTACTTGATGTCGTGACACTCCACCCTGTCATAATCTGTACTTGATGTCATGACACTGCCCCCTGTCATAACCTGTACTTGATGTAATGACACTCATCCCTGTCATAACCTGTATTTGATGTTATGACACTCCCCCATGTCATAACCTTTACTTGATGTCGTGACACTCCCCCCTGTCATAATCTGTACTTGATGTCATGACACTGCACCCTGTCATAACCTTTACTTGATGTCATGACACTCCTCCCTGTCATAACATGTACTTGATGTCATGACACTCCTCCCTGTCATAACCTGTACTTGATGTCATGACACTGCACCCTGTCATAACCTGTACTTGATGTAATGACACTCCTCCCTGTCATAACCTGTATTTGATGTTATGACACTCCACCATGTCATAACCTTTACTTGATGTCGTGACACTCCACCCTGTCATAATCTGTACTTGATGTCATGCCACTGCACCCTGTCATAACCTGTACTTGCTGTCATGACACTCCTCCCTGTCATATCCTGTACTTGATGTCATGACACTCCACCCTGTCATAATCTTACTTGATGTCATGGCACTTCATCCTGTCATAACCTGCAGTTGATGTCGTGACACTCCTCCCTGTCATAACCTGTACTTGATGTCATGAAATTCCACTCTCTCAAATTATGATAATTGTGTAACTGGAGGTCATAGGCAGTCAATTTCAATAGTAAGAAGTAGGAGAGAAAAGATAATAGTCCAAAGCAGTGCAGAATTCAAAAAGGGTTTCAATTTTGATTTCTTCACATTCCCTAAGCATGAGACACCAGATTCTGCAGGGGCTGTACCTGGGGCCTGTTCGTTTTTTTAAAGTAATCATTTTGGGTATAAACCCAGGAGGACCTTCAAATGTTGATGGATGCAGGTCTTGCAAGCCTTTGTCAAGTCTCGTCTAAAAGCAGCATCAGATTACTTGGTCTGACCTTATTTTAGAAACAAACAATTTTTGTCCAACCGGTTTAACCGTTTGGATGGCAGGCCTGTTCTTCAATCAACATATCGTCACTACCTGGGGTTTCAAGGCATAACATTGGATCGACATTTTTACAACCACCAACTTTTGATTACAATAAACTATACGTTGTTTGTGTTTTAGATCCTATTAACAGCTATGGTCATTTCAGGACGTGCCAGGTTTTATGGTGGAGGAAAGCCGGAGTACCCGAAGTATAATCACCGACCTACGCCTAGTACCTGGCGACTGCCCCACGTAGGCCTCGCGACCAAGTGTTTGAGGGCTAGTGGTGGCAGAATGTCTATACGTACGTGTTCATGTACCGAAATGACCCCTTGAGTGTGATCTCCCTGGTGATGACACTGTACACCGGAAATGACACGTTATCAGGACCGTGACCAATCACCACCATTGTTCCTCCCGATCGCGTCGCCTGTAACAATGTTTAACATTTATCACATAACATCTGTGTTACATGGTGAATACGGATTTTTTTCTCTCATATATTTGTCCAGCATAATTGTGACGTGACAATAAGGAGCAATATCATTATGTCGACACAGACTTCAATATAGGTTTGACTCATTCACCGCTGAAGGTACATTTGAGCTCTTCCAATTCAAAGGTTGGAATAGTTCATTATGAAATTTCAGGGGTGAATGGGTTAATTAATCTTAGATAAAAAAAACCTTATCATTTTCAGATCATTTACATACATTAAAACAGTATGTTAAGAATAAGTTGAATGCTACATTTCATGATGCTTTTTCAAAATGTTTGTAAAAAACTTTCGAACCTTAAGACTAATTTGTTCACCGATTTAAAACTAAAACTCATCTCTGTTTTTCAGCTGATTTCCCTGTATTTTCAACTGTACTTTCAGTTTCAAATTTTCAATTTTAAATGAAGTAAATTTATATAGCTTACATCTAAAAGTAAGTTTTCACTTTTATTTAATTTGCAGATTTTATACAAAGCTGAAAATCTGACACCACTGATGTAATTTAAATAATAATAATAATAATAATAATAATAAGCGTTCTTCTCTCACAATCACAGTCAATAGTAATTGACGATATTATAATTAACTATCAATCTTCCGACTTACAAGAACTCCCAAATTGACCGAGGACTGTGCGCCACTGCATTCTACAGTGTGTTGAGGAGCGCTCCCTATCAGGTCGGCAACCTTTGTGGCCAAATCCTCTGGTTTATCATCCTTGGTTACTAGCAAGGTATGTGTGGCTCCACATTTCCTGGCAAATTCAAGTCGCTTGCTGTCAATGTCTGAAACAGAGTATCAGAACTATAATATTTGATCGTTTATACTGTCATAATGTCAGTTATGCTCTCTTCCTAAGAGTTAATCCCACTTTAATAGGGTTGGTTTGGTTAGGTTTAGTTTTATTTTGTTTAACGTCCTATTAACAGCTAAGGTCATTTAAGGACGTGCCTCCATGTGTGCTGTGTATGCATGCATGCGTGTATTTGTACCGGAGACAATGTATGTTGGTGTACTTGCCTCCTCGTGATAGCGCGGATCTGATACCGACTTTATAGTGCTATCTCACCGAAATACCATGCCGAATACACCCAGCACAGCATCCCGCCCGGTCACTTTAACAGGTGGTTTCACCTTTCGAAATAAGCATTAAATAATTCACTACTTACATTTTCGTAGTTTACATTGTATATATTGAACTGGTGACACCACCAAATGGAAATAGTGTCAAATGGTTTCATACTATTTTTGGGGTTTAAAAGTAAATCTTGGACAAGGACGTACTAGTTATTGATCAATCTTATAAACAATGACTTCTTGCTGCAACTTTGACCTTGGTGCTGTAAGCCTTGCCTAACGATAATGCACTATCTATACTAAGTTTCATGAAATAATGCAAATGAGAAAAGCTTAGCATGGTTTTATAATTTGACCTTCGCTGCCACTTTGACCTTTGGACTAGAATGCAAATCCGCAGCTCATAGGTACTACTTTGTCATGCAAGGAATGGTTTGGTTGTGTTTTGTGTCATTTTAACAGCTATGGTACGGTTTTAGTGGTGAAGGAAAGCCGGAGTACCTGGAGAAAACACAAAGACCTGTCACCCGATACATTACATGTAATACCGTTATACCGTATTCCATGTTTATAGGGTCAATCCGACCAATCACTGGGCTAATACCTGTCATTTGAATATTACAAAGGAGTGACGCACGACTTCAAAGCCAGTAAGTTTTACCGTTACGCGACAGCAAGATTCTTTTGATGTACATCAAAGGATCAAACTAGTCTTCTTGTCTCACCCACGCGTTGGCGGACACTAAGCCTTCAATTTTGCTATGACATATTCTAGGGGTGCAGAGAGCGAAAGTAAGCGTCACACCTGGATATCGAGGATGACNAGGTCGGCAACCTTTGTGGCCAAATCCTCTGGTTTATCATCCTTGGTTACTAGCAAGGTATGTGTGGCTCCACATTTCCTGGCAAATTCAAGTCGCTTGCTGTCAATGTCTGAAACAGAGTATCAGAACTATAATATTTGATCGTTTATACTGTCATAATGTCAGTTATGCTCTCTTCCTAAGAGTTAATCCCACTTTAATAGGGTTGGTTTGGTTAGGTTTAGTTTTATTTTGTTTAACGTCCTATTAACAGCTAAGGTCATTTAAGGACGTGTCTCCATGTGTGCTGTGTATGCATGCATGTGTGTATTTCCACCAGAGACAATGTATGTTGGTGTACTTGTCTCCTCGTGATAGCGCGGATCTGATGCCGACTTTATAGTGCTATCTCACCGAAATACCATGCCGAATACACCCAGCACAGCATCCCGCCCGGTCACTTTAACAGGTGGTTTCACCTTTCGAAATAAGCATTAAATAATTCACTACTTACATTTTCGTAGTTTACATTGTATATATTGAACTGGTGACACCACCAAATGGAAATAGTGTCAAATGGTTTCATACTATTTTTGGGGTTTAAAAGTAAATCTTGGACAAGGACGTACTAGTTATTGATCAATCTTATAAACAATGACTTCTTGCTGCAACTTTGACCTTGGTGCTGTAAGCCTTGCCTAACGATAATGCACTATCTATACTAAGTTTCATGAAATAATGCAAATGAGAAAAGCTTAGCATGGTTTTATAATTTGACCTTCGCTGCCACTTTGACCTTTGGACTAGAATGCAAATCCGCAGCTCATAGGTACTACTTTGTCATGCAAGGAATGGTTTGGTTGTGTTTTGTGTCATTTTAACAGCTATGGTACGGTTTTAGTGGTGAAGGAAAGCCGGAGTACCTGGAGAAAACACAAAGACCTGTCACCCGATACATTACATGTAATACCGTTATACCGTATTCCATGTTTATAGGGTCAATCCGACCAATCACTGGGCTAATACCTGTCATTTGAATATTACAAAGGAGTGACGCACGACTTCAAAGCCAGTAAGTTTTACCGTTACGCGACAGCAAGATTCTTTTGATGTACATCAAAGGATCAAACTAGTCTTCTTGTCTCACCCACGCGTTGGCGGACACTAAGCCTTCAATTTTGCTATGACATATTCTAGGGGTGCAGAGAGCGAAAGTAAGCGTCACACCTGGATATCGAGGATGACTCCTAACAGAATTGGACAATTTGCACTGCTATATACATCTACGCTTCAATTTGGGAATACGTTTTTCAACGTAGTAAGTTGTTATTGAATGAAGTTTTAGTAAGACCGAGTTATCTATACAAGTGTACCTACTTACCTGTCATACAAACCGCGGCCGCACCCAAAGCCTTGGCACTCAGCATAGCACACAGGCCGATTGGGCCTGTAACACAGATATTTCTACATAACATCATATGCAAAAAATATACAATCCAAGAATATATGTAGATATCAGCACAATAATGTAACAAAATAGGCCGATAATTAGGTAATTAATGATAAAGAATTGAACCATCTTATAGCATGTAAGATAATGGGTATCAATAGAGAGCGGCACTTTGGTCAAAAGTACATTTGATGTCAAATCTTACGATTTGGGTAACACCGTGCACTGGTTGAAGACGGGGATGTTGAATTGTAGACAGTGATATAGGGCTATCGATTCAGTGACGGCCGGGGCCCGTTTTCATGAAACCGTTCTCATGCTCAAGCATGGATTTTGTGCTCAAGCCTATTTTCTTGTTCCGTTTTATAAACTAATAATAAAATCTTATTTTGTCAACGAATTTGGGAAAAAATTAGAGACTTCAAACGGAATACTGTTTTCAATGTTTACGTTTTACCTTTTGATGGTTTGACATGATTTAAGTGATTCACAAGAAATTTGATTTGAGCACAAAATCCATGCTTGAGCATGAGAACGGTTTCATGAATACGGGCCCAGGTCCGGCATGGATGACATAGAGATAGGAACGACAGTGTGAACTCCCCAAAACAGACAGTGTAACTGTCATTGCCATATGGCAATCTAGTATTGTTGTTTCAGTAGGAGAAAGTTAGATTAAATTGTCGCATGTGCCTAATTAGACAGGCTCAATAGCTGGTACGTGCTCATGAATAATTAATGTTGTATAGATTGTAAAAAGTACTTGGGGAGAATTTTTAGGAAGTTTCTATAGTTGAGAGTCGGGATTCGAGGTTCGGGAATGTGAGCCTCTGGAGAGAGAGGCCAATGGAAGGCCTCGGCCGGAGGGGACTGGAATGGCCCAGGTAAAGCACCTGGTGTGTTTTAGGACTATGCGTTTGATGTTATAACTTTCTTTATTACACCTCTACTTTATTTACTCTATATAAAAGTAATTGGTTAAATCGAATATATCCCCATTTTTGCCTGAGTGTGTTTTAGTCATGTGTGTTAGTCTGGGAACTAAAACACATCTACACTCGGGTGTTTCCGCCNCGGGTGTTTCCGCCGAGCCAATCAGGCGAGAGGTGGGCGGAGCTTGTTACCGAACTCGGCAGTGATGCGCGAGGTGGGCGGAGCTTGCTACCGAACTCGGAAGCATTTGGCCCCATTGCCATCAAAAGGGTAGTTGGGACTTGAAGCTATACAGCTTATGATTTACAAATATTTTCTAGTTAAAACTATCTCTCCAGTGTGTATCGGTATAATAAAACGGTTAAAGTATGTGGTTGATGCATATAGCAAGTTTCTCGTGTCCCTTGACCATGCCTATTTCCCTCGGCTTCGCCTCGGGAAATAGACCTGGTCTCAGGACACCAGAAACTTGCTATATCTCTCAACCCCATACTTTAACTGTATAATAATCTGTGTGCAAGTAGATTTGCTGTCGTGTTCCAGAACTATATTAAAAAGGACATTTACTAAATTTAAGAGAGATTTTGCAGAGAGAACCTAGGCAATGGCCTCTGTCGCAGCCACAATGCGTAGTAGTTATAAAAACACTACAAGTCTACAACGTGGTGTTCTACGGGTCCGCATTATTTATTTACATTAAACTATGTTTATAAAACAAAATTAAACAAACCTGACTCTGCATCCCGAATGATACATTCGACTGAAATGTAACAGCTGAACGTCAATGGTCAATTTCGCCCCTAAGTGAAACGTTAATGTAAGCTAATAATATAACAATGAACGAAATGCGCTGACCTGTCCATCCCAATGAACATGGCATCAGTTAGTACAACTACGTGTATTAATACCCGGCCTCCTCTACAACTTATATATAAAACGTTTCGTCTTCAGAAGCTACATTATCGCCACCAGCGTCCAAGTCGTTCACATATAATGAACATATCTTTAGGAGTAGCTCAAGACCAAACTACCGTTTTACGATCTATTTTTCTTTCCCCCCAAATTTCTATTGTCAAAACTGTACAGAATTAGGAATATGGGAATTTATTAGCCAACAAACTGGAAGTTAGAAATATCATGGAGCCTGCTGACCAACTCTATGCCATGTATACATACCAGCCCCACAAACCAGGACGCGACTCCCTAGGGTCACTCCAGCCCTACGGCAGCCGTGTAGGCCCACCGACAGAGGCTCAACGCATGCGCCCTCCTCGAAACTCACGTTATCCGGTAATCTAAAAAGTAGCATAACTTGCATAACATTTCGGTAAAATTGAGGTACCAAAACACTTATTTAAGTTATAGTTTCGATATATATACACGCATGTGATATCCTGCTGCTGCTGTCTCTTATAGCAAAAGGCATTTTTTACCGAAAATTGATCTAAACCCCTAAAACGTGTCGAATATTGCTCTAGCTTAGGTCCAAATATAGCTGTAACAAATTCTCAGGTCCCTGTGTCACTGTCTAGTCATTATCCATGTATCCATAAACATCAAATTAAGTTCAGTTATCCTTAAGGCAATGCATGTATACATAGTACTTGCCTTCTGACCCCTTCATATGACCTATATAAACGACAACCAATCAAATTTTGAATTTAAAGAACTTTGATAGCATCGAATAGAATTGCATGGACGCAGCTAAGAAGTTTTTCTTGCATGGCTTGAGTACTCACTTGAAGACAAAGTCGGCGGCGTGCGTGTGGTATCTGGCCAGCGCGCCGTTGTCCGGTGGCGTCGCAAGGAAAAACACATCTTTACAAAGGTTGTAGCTACCAGACTTGCAGAACTCACATTTACGACAGATGTTGTGAGGCTCAATGGCAACACGGTCACCTGGAAAATGTAAAAATTCATCAGAGAATATTGAATGAAAATCGATTTTGAAAGCACTATGGTGTACAGAATTTGTGCAAATACAAATACAAATTGTCTGTAGAGTGCTGGTTCGAATCCCGAAATACCCAGGTCATGCTCATTTTGCACTTTTGTTGGCAATGTTATCATTTGTTATTTAAGTGATCAATGGTGATATCCGTTTTACCCATCTTTGACCAATAAAAAGCACCTGATCATTGTGTTTTAATCATACGAGCCGAGGACCGTGTTTTTTCTATCTTTAAGCAAACGTAAGTAAAAAAAATTGTGTACATAACTATGCCCAACCTCGTTTTCAAGCCACTTTTTCTTGTCCACAGAGAGGAGTCTCTCGGCCGGAAAACTATCCAGTCATTAGCTTCAATTTACCTAGTTTCAGGTGAGTAACCCCCTTGCCGACCTTGCTGACCACTCCACTACATTCGTGTCCAAGAAGCATGGGGTGAGTGACCACAAACTGACCGATACCTCCGGTTGTCCAGTATTTCACGTCCGAGCCACATATTCCAATTTTCCGCATAGACAACTGTACCTCTGTAAAAGATTAGATGAATAACGGTACAGACAGAAGGACGGACAGATGAACAACCGGACAGACATAAAACGATGAAAATGATACTCGATTCGTGACTTGATATGGCACGCACTGCTCACACGTTTTTACTTAATATCAAATGTGAGTATATAATGCGTTTGTGTAGGGCTTGACCTATCATCCCGTTTGCTATATTTTGAGCAACAACTTTTAAAAATATATCAAAGTATATCTACTAATAGTGAGATATAGCCAAAATTAGGAAAAAAACACTTCTCAGAATATATATATATATATATACACTGAGATAATTTTTAGGCGCATTGTTTTAAATCAATCTTCATTGTTTACAAAAAAAAATGTACGTGAAATAAAATAAAACCTCCAGCAATACAGGTCGGGGAGATTTTGAAGGGAAATACAATTAAAACTCATGCAAGGTCGGAGAGATTTTGATGGAAAAGAGAGATTATGTTGGAAAACTGACAGGCTATATGATTCTGACGTTGATATAAACTATACTTACCCCCTTCATTAGGTTCGGGAATTGGGCGCTCTTCCTGTGTACATAAGACAATACTTTACGAGTTGAACGTGTGTTAAATAATGTTAGAAACATTCAGCGCACGAATGACAAGATTTCCAACTGTATATATATATATTCATTTGTTTTACAGAAAGCACTCTCTAAAATTAGTTTTGGTCTAAATTCTAATTAAATTTTCTTCTAAATAATTATTTGCAAGGGGATATCTCCAAGCCAATTATCCTATAAGTGTTTCATATTTTTTCCTATACATGTATGTGTTTTATTTGTATAAGTGTATCTATCAATATCCAGCTATTTTAAGAAGAAAAAATCTGCAGATGATTATAAGATGCTTCTCGCACAAGATGTGCGTTTCCTCGATTATTTCGTAAATATAATTATTAGACCATACTGCATAATACGTGACCACATATTGTAAGATTGTTAGTCTTATATTCTTTAATGCTCTTCTAAGATGGCTAGCGATTGTGTGCATATACGGGCGCCCACACACTCGCGGGGCAGCCACGTTGATATTGGCATGAAATAAAATATACGCAGAGTAAAAGAAATTGACATACTGACCAGTCTGAGGTCGCCTTTCTTGTGCAGCACGGCCGACAGGTTGGTGTCCGACATTTTGACTGGTCAGTGGTCAGTTGTTTGTGTGTACGCGAGCATGGGGTTTAGTTGCTGCACGACGGGGAAATCTGGCCGACGAGAAATTAGACCCAGGCAGACTACGGAAGCGCCAGCATCGCATACAGAAACCGACACTGCTAGACTTACTGCAAAAGTAATCCTTTTCGCGGTGTGTTATTTTCTGTAACAATGGTTGATTCAAGGGGGGAATACACAGAGTATCCACATGCTACTAATAATTGTTTAATTTTATTGAATACATTACCTCGCTTTAGTTAGTCCTGCGTATTTCATAAAACCTTTATTTTTAGACAAATTTTATTGAAACGTTTTATATCTTGTCGTAGCTCTCTCCTTGTCATCGCTATACGCTACAAGAAAACTATATTTACATAATTCTTTCCTTCTTTTTCTCGAGTCTTAAAAGATGAAGACAACTGATGTTTCTATCGACTCCCCCCGTCGCCACTTCCCCTCCGTACAGCTGTGTCAGCACCGTTTATTGTTTATCTTTCCCGTGACCCAGATTTTCGAGTGTGCCTTCTCCACACTAATCTCGATCTGATTAAACTACAAAGATAAGTGTACATGTAAATGGTATGTCGTCTGCTAATTCATCGTTCACTGAATGCTTTGTTGTCTATATTATCAACTAAATTGAGTCTCTTCGGCAATATTTTAATTGCTGAACAGACACGAGTAGAGAAATGAGACACAAATGGGCATATGTCGCTCACGCTATTCGATGATGATGGCAAACATATTTCACATGTGTAACATTCATAGCAAGCGATTAAAGCCCACGCACTACAACCTTAAAATGACTTTATATGAATAGCCTCATTTATTTTACAAATATAGTTAAACCAATTTTATTAACTTATATCAATCACTCTTGATGGACCGGATGGTAGCGAACACGGGAGTGTTCTGTACTTAGGACTGTGGGAGGAAACCGGAGTGTACTAAGCTTGGAGAAAACATAGGTGGTCCTTTTTCTCGTCCGATCGGGGAATCGAACCCCTTACCGTCTTGCTGAAAGACGAGTCCGCTATTCCCTGCGCCTTCCGACCACTCCAAAACATAATCTACACCTTATAAAATTTAACTCATTTTTTCTCATGTGCCCTTCGATTCGGAATTGATCAGTTTGAATTAAAACTTGATAGTGTATTATAATTACCCCAGCAATTTGTATGTGACGAAACAATTAGGCATATCATCGTAAGCTGTATATATATATATACATATATATTATAAAACCTTATAATTTATCAGTATAGTGATATGCGATACCCAAATCATATCACATATATTCCAGAACCCGAGCACCTGTGTTTTAGGACGTTGTATGTCGCTAACAAATCACGTTGACAAACAAGCGTGCAGATCTATATATGTGATCTTTCCGTTCATTTTTCTGTTTTAAATCTATATCATATGTAAGACTAATATGTATTGTTCGATTCCAAAGTCAGCATTTTTTTATGAAAACCTGTTTTTTGTTTTGATGTTGTTGTTTTGTTTCTTTGCGTGAGGCCGTGCACAGCAACCGATGTTGGCCTATATAGTTTTCTTAATACAATGTATCATCGCCATTAGTTGTTGTGGTATATTTTTCAATTTGCAAATATATCTGAATCTATAACTATGTTTTACGTTTTTAAACATTTTCTGTTTTCATTTCATGTTTAAATCTTCGAAAGACACAAAATTTGCAAAATTGCTTCCTCTCTAAACAAAGCAGACGACTTTATTTCAAAAACGAAAGCATGCATGCGCAAAAAACCACCCCACATGAAACTGCCATCTCATGATCTGTTAAACGACTGGTCGTATGAATCCGAAACGCAATAACGCCACGTTAGATGGATAAGCGATATATAGGCCTATAATTTTGGGTAGAACCTCTAGTTTCATTGTCAAACTCAAAAGAAACCAATTGACATGTTTCTTGATAAGGACTAATACACTTATAATACTGAAAGTGATATTTTCTTGGCATTATTTACATAGTAGGCGCCTGTTGCACATATTTTTTTTTATATCCAGAAGCAATATCTACAGATTTTATTGGTGGGAATAGTTAAGGGAAGAAATATGTCCACATTTGAAACTTCGGAGACCATTGTCTGTAAAACAATGAGATAGCTAGATCACAGTAGGGGTGGAACAAGATACGCCAGTCACGTGTTACGTAGCCTCCATTTAGACTCATTGGGAAATACTGAAAACTATTCTGATAGATTCTTGCAAAAGTCATTAACATATTAAAATGTAACGAGAAGAAATTGCACTTAAACTGCTAAATGAATTAGATTGTTTTCTTAAATGTGTTTTAAGGGGGAAATAAACTGTTCATTTTTTGAACTCATCTTATTCATGTAGCAATTGCCTCCCTTTGCTAATATTTCTTATTCATTTGTAGCGATTGCCTCCCTTTGCCCATATTCTTTAAATTATCCAACATTAATTTATAGGGATTGCCTCCCTTTGCCCATATTCCAATTTATCTCAAACGTTTACAAAATTTCACTAGAATCCAATCATACTTGATTAAGTAATTATGTTCTGATAAATCAGAGTACAGTATATTGCGCTTATAACGTATAAGCTTATTTTGTTAAACTTTCGTTATGACCTTTGCATTTATATGCAATATAAGTTTACCAAATTTCATAAAAACCAAATGATATTCAGGCAAGTTCTTTTTCGGAAACAGATGTCCTTTCAAAAATTTTGACTGACAAAAAGTCAACAACCCAGACATCAATTTATAGGTAACCAATTGTTACATGGGAAATGTGGATAGTGACCTTTGCCTAACAAAAGTTGTATAGAATTTCAATTTTTTAAATATTTATTGATTAATCACAAAAACGAGACCAGACGAATGAGATAAAGTTCTTGTTGATAATGAACACATTGATAAAAATAAAAACAAATAATAAACAACAAAGACATGAATTTTAACTAAATGTATCATGTTTATTTATCATAATTCCTGTTTAATATCTAATATAATACATATAATTCATCACATTATAGATCAGTGACTTCATTAAACATCATGAAATGTTTCCACAAAACATATACATTATTACCTGTATGAACCACTTCTTCTTATAGAATAAAAATAAAATCACAATCTTTAGTTAGTGATGTTTGTAATGAAAAATGATTTAAATATGTACTGTAATGTACCATTCACAAAACAAAAAAATCATTCTCAAAAAAAATAACAAATAAAAATCATTGCAAAATCAATTTAATATATACAGATATATATATATATTAACAAATCAAAGCGAAAAGCATCACATTGCTTATAATCAAATAAACTATCCTCGTAGTATACAAAATGTAATATTTGTTAGTGAAAAAGTCCACTCAAGATGATCAATTATCTTATTCTGAAAATTAAGAACACATTGTCAAATTAAAAACTGCTGTATAGCTGGGATATCAATACACTGGCTTTCATGATCACAATTTTTTTACATTAAAATAATTTTATTAAGTTCGAAAAACAAACAAACAAAAAACAAAAGAAGAAAAGAAGAAAGATTTTTTTTTAAAAATTTCAGTTGCCTAGTTTGTTGTCTTGTGAACTTTGACCTCTAGCTAATCTATATCTTATAAGTATTTGGGACGGGCCCAGGCTAAGTGAACATCTTGTTAGTATAAAGTACAATGTCAAGGTCGAGTGCCAAGATATGATCACTCATCTTTATAGTTACATTAGATAAGCACTGTCCTTGTAAAATTCGGCTTATCATTGACTTACTATACACAAATCAGAATAAATATAATTGGTCTGCCTAAAAAACTATCCCTTGACCTAATATTTCCCAAGTCTGGCAGTTTATGATTGATTGACTTGAAGTCAAATAAAAAAAAAAAGATCTTTTAAATATCTTGTATAACAACAATTTATAAATATCTATACATTAACAAATTGTATATAACTTTGTTTGCTTTTTTCAGATGTCAGGATTTTCATTGTCTGGGATGAAATTCAACAAAAGTGCATAATCCTGAAAGAAAATATTGCATTTGAAAAAGAAATATGATAATTGATTGAAAATGCCATATTTTTGTCGCATCACTTTTTCCGTCAACAGAATGGACAGTTTTTACCTGAAGAATATTTTTTCAAAACAACCGTTGATTCAATTCACAGTTTATTTTATCACACAAATCACTTGAACACAAGCACTGATTGTTGTAAGTTATCAAATCTAGTTCCAGTCATCAGATATTGAAGGTCAAAATATAGGACAGCAGCAAACTTATCCAGGTCAATATCCGGGTCACTGACAGTTTTATTTTTCCTGTACGCAGTTCTTGTCATGTATCTTTATCTGTTTAAAGCTGGGCAGACATTCCAGACTGAAATACAAAAGTAATTAGTATTTTATTCTGGATCTGTTTATAAACATTTAAAATTTTCTCATTGGGGACATGTTTTTTGCTCGTTGCGATACACTGTAAGCTTTCAAACATTTAGGATTGCAATCTTGGAAATAGAGCTTCCAAACATTTGGTATTGCAATCCCGGGGATAGAGTTTTTAATTTTTTGGGATTGCAAATCCTGGGGATAAATCTTTCGAACATTTTGGATTACAATCCCGGTGATAAAGCTTTAAAACATTTGGGATAACAATCCTGGGGATAAAGCTTACAAACGTTTGGAATTGAAATAAATCCTGGGGATAAAGTTCAAATGTTTGGGATTGCAATCCCGGGGATGAAGTTTTCAAATGTTTAGGATTGCAATCCCGGGGATAAATCTTTCAAACATTTTGGATTACAATCCCGGTGATAAAGCTTTAAAACATTTGGGATAACAGTCCTGGGGATAAAGCTTACAACCGTTTGGGATTGCAAGACCGGGGATGAAGTTTTCGAATGTTTGGGATTGCAGTCCCGGGGATGAAGTTTTCGAATGTTTGGGATTGCAATCCTGAGGATAAAGCTTTCAAATGTTTGGGATTGCAATCCTGAGAATAAATCTTTCAAATGTTTGGGATTACAATCCCAAGAATAAAGCTTTCAAATGTTTGGGATTGCAATCCCAAGAATAAAGCTTTCAAATGTTTGGGATTGCAATCCCAAGAATAAAGCTTTCAAATGTTTGGGATTGCAATCCTAGGAATTAAGCTTTCAAACTTTTTGGATAACAATCCTTGGAATTTAGCTTTGAAAGTTTTGAGATTGCAATCCCTGGGATAAAGCTTTCAAATATTTGGGATTGCAATCCCTGGGATAAAGCTTTCAAATGTTTGGGACTGCAATCATGAGAATAAAGAATTCCCACAGATTTGAAATGCCTTAATGGTAATCCTGAGAATACAGTTTTTCTTGGGATTGCATAGGTTCCTACAATTGGAATTGCAATCCTGTAAATGTATGTTTAAACGTAATCCATGGATAAATATATGTATTTTGTGATTGTGTGAGTAGATATGGTAGCATCCACTATTTTAAACAACAAACTTTATTGTTTATCAGGTACACAAACAAATGCTTAAATTATGGTGTTTATATTATCTTTATGTACTTTCATGTGATGGATGAATGATCAGCAATGTCTGAACTATAATGTAACTAAAATACTGACAGGTGATCAGCAAGCCAAGCCCCCCCGCCCCCTCTCCTCAATAGGTCTTTTTAGTATCAGTTACATATACTTTGACCTTAAAAATTGTTAAAATCCCGATTTCTACATATCAGTGTATCACCACGTCAAATTTCAAATTTTGGATTCTGATATAAGGACTACACCCACCCTATCTGTTTTTAGTAACAGCGACCTACCTTGACCTTAGAAACTTTTTAAACCCCTATACACATCTACATATCAGTGTATCACCATGTGAAATTTCATTAAGATTTGACATTTGGATTCTGAGATATGGACTGTATATCCCTACTGTCTGTTTTTAGTAACCTTGACCTTAGAACTTTTTAAGCCCCTATTACACATCTAAATTTCAAAGATAGATGGACAATGTGATTACTATTGGGCACCTGCATCTCCAATGCGAGGCCATAACTAGCTTCTACAATCCATAATAAAGCCTGTGGTCAGCCTTATCATACAGCTTTAAGGTCGCCTGAAAATTACCTGTTTCTTGTGAGAGTTCAGGAGTTTCTGGATGCCCCCTCCGAAGTCGGGATGAACCTGGGTAAAGTTGTGGACCGTCCGTCTCTGAATGAATTCCTGGGCATCCTTCAAGTGGCCTGCGATGTTCTCCACCAATCGTTGACGTTCTTCCGGCTTCAACACCTGCAAAAGGAGGAAATATATTTGTGAAATAAAAATTTCCGAAGTTACTCTTTTTTTTACCCTTGGTAATGCTGGATATAATAAAAGAAGATAGTGATAAGAAACACGAACAATATTGTAAACTAATATGAACCCATTCACGCCTAAAGTCATATTTGAACACTACCAAATCAAAGATGGGACAAGTCCAGTTAAAATATGTAGGGGTGCAGGAGTTAAAGTCCAACCTTATTGATTGTGACACTAAATTCCCAATAGAAAATGTCTGGATTAGTTTTCTGATAGGTAACCTACATAACCTCTGTTGATTATTAGTAGTTGTTTAATTTCGTGGGGTTAATGTTTTGCGGTTTTCTGATCAAGCCTGTATTCATGAAACCGTTCTCATGCTCAAGTATAGAATTTGTGCTCATGCCTAATTTCTTGTTCACATTATAAATGTATGATTTTTTCTTTCTTTTTTCCAGTTATTTGGAAAAACATTGAAGAGACTAAGGTAAAGCCGAAAACTGTTTTCAATGTTTACATTGATTGTTTGATGGTTTGACAAGATTAAAGCGAGTTACAAGAAAGTTGGTTTGAGCACAGAATCCCATGCTTGAGCATGAGAGCGGTTTCATGAATACAGGCCCAGAACTAGTTTGCGGGGCACAATATTGGTGCATCACTGCCAGGTAAAAATGTTGCGCCAACGAGGGTTATTTTGTATTTGGTTGACAGGATTAATTTTACAAAAGTTTTTTGCGAAAATAAAGTAAAATGCGATATTGAACTGTTTTATCTTTATGATATTCCTAATTTTTGGCAGTGAATGGGTAAACCGATTTAAACTGAAGCAACATCTTTTGCATTTGTGTGTGGAAACAAAGATGGTGGCTGACCTTGTTCCAGAAGACGGTGACCTGTGAGAAATTGTCGTCTTCGCCGGTCTCGTACCGCTGGACATCGCCAGTGATGGAGAAGGGACTTTCCAGGAATTGTTTGTTGTCCTGTGGGCCAGTGAAACTGTTGGGGAAGTAGTTTGGTGCGTTACCTGTGAAAAAATGTATGTGAATATTTACATTTGCTCATCAATATATAAACCCACTGAAATCAGTCATAAGATACGAGACCATAACCTGTTAGAGGCACAGAAGTCTAGTGGTAGGACGCCGGGCTCGTCACCAAAGGGTTGCGGGTGCGAGCTGTCACGGCACTGTGTTGTATCCTTGAGCAAGACACTTTACTCCGCTTGTTCCAGTCTACTCAGCTGTAAATAAGTACGTGGTTGGGCAGTGCTAGAATTGTTGAATGCTAGCTGTTAGCTCTGGAATGGCAGCTCCGGCTGTATGCGGCCCAGGGAATTGAGAAAGATATTGGCTTGTTGCAAAGGCCCTATAACCACGGATAATAATATGTGAACCACTTTGAGACGACTTACGAAATAGGTTGTGATAAAGCGGTATATAAGAACCTCAAACTATTATTATTATTTAATTGGTTATTATGAAATCATTTTAATTGTTGCATCGTTATCATACCTTTAGAGATTGCCAGCCAATGCTGGCTGTTCCATTTATGGTATTGAAAATTTAGCTCAACTAAATCCTGGTAAAACTCCAAAGATCAAATCAAGGGAATGTTCCAGAAAGTGGATATTATGCTGAATATTTAAGAACAGATCCTATTAAATATTTTTGTCTCAGATTAGATAAACTGATTACTCAATTCTTTTTCCCAAAAGTTCAAAGACTGCACGCTCAAACAAGGGCCAGTTACTGCAGGTCCTACCTACAGGTTTGCCTGTTAGAAGCTAAAATGACTGCTGAGGTTTGGTTATCCAAGCTACAGAGGGGTATGAATTGGAAGCCATAAATGAGAACATTCTGACAGTTGAGGTTGTTTTGCATAAACGAGGGCTTTCAGTAGACCTTTGAGGGTCTGTTGAGGTTGTTTTGTATAAACGAGGGCTTTCAGTAGACCTTTGAGGGTCTGTTGTTGACTTCTGGGTTTGAAGGGACATGCATTCTGGCATGTGTTTTGACGATTCAAATTTAAGGAAAAGTGCTATTTGACTTCTGAAATTGCTCTTAAAATATCAAATATCAACTGAAATCCCTGAAATTTAAATATGCTGACTACGCAAGTTCCATTTTATGGCTGTCATGAAACTTAATGTCTTGACTAAAGGGTTTTTGTATTAGAAGTCAAAATGTCCTAAATTACAGTGGGGGTGGGNTTTGTGTGCAAGAAGTCAAAGTGTCCTAAATTACAGACCAATTACAGGGGTTTTGTATCAGAAATTAAAGTGTCTTAAATTACAGGGTGTTTGTATCAGAAATTAAAGTGTCCTAAATTACAGGGGGTTTGTATTAGAAGTTAAAGTGTCCTAATTACAGGGGGTTTGTATTAGAAATAAAAGTGTCCTAAATTACAGGGGGTTTGTATTAGAAGCTAAAGTGCCCTAAATTACAGGGGGTTTGTATCAGAAATAAAAGTGTCCTAAATTACAGGGGGTTTGTATTAGAAGTCAAAGTATCCTAAATTACAGGGGTTTTGTATCAGAAATAAAAGTGTCCTAAATTACAGTGGTTTTGTATCAGAAATTAAAGTGTCCTAAATTACAGGGGGTTTGTATTAGAAGTTAAAGTGTCCTAAATTACAGGGGGTTTGTATTAGAAGTTAAAGTGTCCTAAATTACAGGGGTTTTGTATCAGAAATAAAAGTGTCCTAAATTACAGGGGGTTTGTATTAGAAGTCAAAGTATCCTAAATTACAGGGGTTTTGTATCAGAAATAAAAGTGTCCTAAATTACAGGGGGTTTGTATTAGAAGTCAAAGTGTCCTAAATTACAGGGGTTTTGTATCAGAAATAAAAGTGTCCTAAATTACAGTGGTTTTGTATCAGAAATTAAAGTGTCCTAAATTACAGGGGGTTTGTATTAGAAGTTAAAGTGTCCTAAATTACAGGGGGTTTGTATTAGAAGTTAAAGTGTCCTAAATTACAGGGTTTTATATTAGAAGTTAAAGTGTCCTAAATTACAGGGTTTTATATTAGAAGTTAAAGTGTCCTAAATTACAGGGTTTTATATTAGAAGTTACAGTGTCCTAAATTACAGGGTTTTATATTAGAAGTTAAAGTGTCCTAAATTACAGGGTTTTATATTAGAAGTTAAAGTGTCCTTAATTACAGGGTTTTATATTAGAAGTTACAGTGTCCTAAATTACAGGGTTTTAGTATTTTAGGTTCTACTACACATTTTAATGCAAGATATTTACATGTCGTGGTTACAGAAGTTCCACAGTAAAAGTTTGCAGTATACCTTGGTTATCGCCCACACATTGTGGTCCATCACGCTGGTAGTTCTTGGCCTTCGTGTTGAAGGGACAGTTGACGGCCAGCTGGAGGTAGTTACTGCCCAGTCTGTGTCGGTGGGTGTCCGAGTAGGAGAACAGACGACCCTGTAACAAACAATAACACCCAGTTATGTGTAACAGGAAAAGAAAAATGCATGGCCTGACCGGAACTCCGATTGTGCTACCTTGTCACTGACGATCAACCTAGTCACTTTGCACTACATAAGAACAACAAGCCCTATCGAACCCATTACTAGGGAAAATTTCATAATTTTTCTCTTTCTGTTTTTTTTATTCTACAACACTGGAAAACAGACTTGTCAGATTGCAAGACTATTTTGTCTGATAATTCAATGACTGGATTGGAGACGATATTTCCATTGTTCGGCTCTAAGTAAATCAGGTAACTGTTTGATTCTGTTGGTACATAAGATAAAACTCATCAAGTTTATTTCACCTGTCCATGATCAGCCAGCCAGCCAGCCAGCCAGCAAGCCAGCCGCACTCTGTCCACCCACCTCTTAGCTACACCGTTCTACCTGAAGTCTTACCTGTAACATCTTGTCAGGGCTGGCCTCGATACCTGGAATCATGTGAGCAGGTGAGAATGCTATCTGTTCCACCTCTGCAAAGTAGTTCTTGGGATTTCTGTTCAGTACCATCCGTCCCACGGGGATCAGAGGGTACTCTCCCTGTGGCCACACCTTAAACATACAACAGACATTTTACATTTTTGTGTATATCTAATGATTTGTTGTACAAGACAGTTTAATACTTAGAACAAATTACTGTCCATACAGTTGGCCTTGTTAGCCCTTCAACTCAGTATACTAAAGGCTGAATATCATGACTCAAGATCTCTTGGTTAGACATTGTCAGTCAGGCCTTGTAAGCCCTTCACCCCAGTATGTTACGTTGTTTAGAACTAGAAAATGTCTGTAAGACATAAATGCCCTCACTCATGGATGGGACGTGACGGACATGGACAACACTATATGCCCCCCCCCCCCCCCCATTTTATGGCGGGGGAATAAAAATACCTTTGTGAGATCAAATGGGTTGTATTTGAACTTTTCAGCCTCCTCAAAGGTCATGACCTGGATGGAGACTGACCAGGAAGGGAAGTCACCCTCTGAGACAGCATTAAACAGATCCCGGATTGCATAGTCAGGGTCATTTTTGGACAGTTCTGCGGCCTGGTCAGCCTTCAGGTTTTTGATACCCTGGTCAGTCTAAATATCACAAAACAAATCAATTTAATACATTGTAGTAAAAAATTCATACATGATAATGAATAAATATGAACTAATCTTCATTTTGCTTATATAGAAGTTCATTTAAGAAAATAGTTTGACAAGATCTAGAGTAAAGCATAAGAGGAAAGAACAAGCCATTTGGATTGATATGTTTCACCTGTGCCCCACTTTGACCATCAATGCATATGCCAAGTTTGGCTGGTCTAGAACTTATATAAATGTACTTTCAGTGAAACTAACATAAACGCAAAAACTTAATGTTGACGCTGTCGCCGGAAAAGCAACACCTTACTTTCGCTTCCCATAGCTACTTCGTGGGGGAGAGACAAAAACATGCCTTAGCATCAACAAACAGAAACAAAATTGGATCTTACATATGGAGGAACAGAGGAGACAAAATACAAAATACAAGGAAAGATAACTCTGTCCAACTTGTAAAGTATTCCCTAGAGTTACACACGATTTTTCAATTTCGACCAAGCAGGTACCCTTAGAGCAATAAAACATAAATCTGTAGCATTTATAGAACTTCGTAATGCAATTATTTCCTTTTCACTAAAATCAGCCTTATCCCTATGAGGATATGTCTAACAAAACACATACAAAATCCTTTGTCATATAGATAATTGATAAAATTTTCAAAAAATTATGTAAGTCTGGTTACCCTTGACAGTATGTACAAAGTATATATATGTGGAGTAAGATTTCATCAAAGAACTTGTTATACATATGGTACTAGTCATGGAAACGTCATACATAAATTTCACTAGTTGTGTTATACGAACCCATATACCATTATAAGTATATTTTTATTTGGCCTTACCAACCTAGAGAAAATGTTTCGAAAGAACTTTTGACATCTGCAATACTCTACCTGATAATTTCAGATTTCTGGTCTTTGCAAACATCAAAAACTGTTTATCTGCAAGCTTTGTCATGGTTTCAAAATTTACAAAATAACAAGCTTTAACTGTGCCATTTCAATTAAACAATTTAATTCCTCATGGTTAAATTATGTTTTTGAGACTAACATGAGAATTTACTGACCTCGTGAATTTCAATATATCACACTTACAGATAACTCATTCACCCCTGAAAACACATTGAACTGTTCCAAATTAAAGGTTGGTACAGTTCATTATGAAATATCAGGGGTGAATGAATTAATAGGAGTTTTACCTTGAAGTGGAATTTGCAGTATATAGGTTTGCCTTCCTTGTTGACCATCTTGAAGGTGTGACTCCCATACCCGTTCATTTTTCGGAAGCCGTCGGGTGTTCCTCGGTCGGAGAACAGGAAGGACACTTGGTGGGTGGTCTCGGGCCGCAGGGAGATGAAATCCCAGAACATGTCAGGGTCCTAGTCAAATAACAAGTAACATAAAGGTACACTTCAGCAAAGACATTCAGCTATCGGCAAATACAATATACATGTCAATTATACAATTTACTGATGTACGCATTCACCTGCAAATACACTAAAAAACAATTTCCATCTTGAACTTCACAGTGGTGGCATTAACTGCTGGTCCGCTGGCCCATCGCCATTGATTTTCTGGGCGAACTAGTAGTTTCAGCAAGCTATCCTGCCAGCCCAGGAAATATTTTGTTAATTTATCAAAAAAAAATCAGCAGATCTGAAAAGCTATATTTTAAGTCCAGAATGCACCACAGAGCTTCTAGATTTCAAAATGTTCAGGGGGGCATGCCATTGCAGCCCTCTTTTCTGGACCAGTGCACTTCAAACAGGACCAGTGAATGTTTACTTTAAGTGGACCTTTGGGCAAGTAACCCTTTTTTTAAAATTCCACCCCTGCTTCAAATCTAGTAATCGGGATAATGGTCTAGTATTCTAGACATGCGTATCTAGAAAATAAAATTTAGTTTCTGGGGTATCCCTTAACTTATATGGACTATGATCTGAATATAGAGGCAGATATATGCCTGCGTTCAGAATAAACTAAGTTAACTCAAATTCTGGTATTCTGGATTAATTAATCAGGTATTCAATAATTTGATGTAAGTTGAAATAGAATATTACTAAGTTTAAATGTCCCTGTCTGAAATGATATCCTCTCAACAAATCATGTTGTCAACATCAATATTATATAACATTAGTGTAGAACATTTTGAAAATGAAATTATGACACCATAAACTATGAAGAGACTCTCCTGTTTTAACCCATTCACCCATAAAGTCACATTTGAACCTTACCAAATCAAAGACTGGGCAAGTCCAGTTTAAACGTGTAGGGGTTAATGAGTTAAAAAATACACCAAATGACACATTGGACACATTTACATACCTTTAGATGGGTTTGTGGATTTCTCTTCTGTGTGTGGATAAAATTGGGGAACTACAAAAAAGAAGTGAGAAAAGCATGTACAGATGTAAGTATACGAGTATGTAACAAAATATTTAACATTTGACTCCTGCAACTTTCGTATGGGTCAAGATAGTCCATTATTCCAGCAAACTGCAAGTCAAAATCATAGCTTGAAGTCATATGGATCTTTATGAAGATTTTTTGTAATTATAATTTAACCCAAATGACATTGAAAACATGTCAAGGCTTTTTCCTTCGAACAAATTTTATAGCCATTCATCCGAGCAGGCTACATGCAAAATATCCTGATCTAATATGCCTTCTGGGTATTCAAAAAAACTTGCTTTGAAGTTTTTAAAAAGATTTATCACAGGGAACTTCCAAGTAGATCAAAGTCATTCATTGGAATATGGTTTATTATTTTTTTTATACCAGTATGCTATTGGCAAAATACCATTACCCCTAGGTCACCTGGTTATTCAAAAGTTGTTTAAAGAAAAAATGTTTAACAGACAGATAGATGGGGGGGACAAACCATCACAAAAACTCTCAGGTACTTTGTACCAGATGTGCTAAAAATGTTGAGTTGTCCAACAGTTGATGTAGAGCCAAGAAGAAGAAAGTGAGAGACAGATTGCTTTAGTCTTTTACCAAAGAAGATTAAAGTTATTTATCATGTACATTGTTTTTAAACTTTCTTGTTTGATAGTCGACACCTGCCACCTACCAACATGGGGTCACGGATGAAGAAGATTGGTGTGTTGTTGCCGACCAGATCCCAGTTTCCATCCTCTGTATAAAATTTTACGGCAAATCCACGAGGATCACGGGCGGAGTCTGCAGACCCACTCTCTCCTCCTACAAATCACAAAAGCAATTAGCTGATAATCTGATTTTTTTTTCACAGAAAAAACTTGTCATACATAGTGAAGAACGGCTTAGGTGAATTGACATGGCTGACACGAACCTAATTATCAATAAACAGCAATATTTTAAACAAATTTGATATTGAAATTACTTTAAAACTTCTGCATAGAGACATATTTCATATGCAACCTCCCTTAGCTTACTATGTGTGTACCAACATACACATGTAATTCAATTTTCTTAACAACTCCTTTACATGTCTCCTTTACATGTAGTGTACATAAATAGCTGAAGTTAAAACCCCTAGATAATGCCGATACTTCATTGAATAGAACATTGAAAGGACCTCAGCAAGGCCCCATCATGTGCCTGACCATAACCTCCGGGAACCCATAGTCTATTTTTAGTACACAGTATCCTTGACAATAGAAACTATTTATCTATTGTACATGTAACATTCAGTTTTAATCTTGTCAAATTTCAAAAATTTGGATTCCAAGATAAACTTTGGAAACGAAGGTGTAGACAGACCGACAGACACTGTGATCACTATAAAGCCCCTGCATCTCTGACGCATGACCTTAACCAATGGTGACAATATAATGGGTTATTTGCTGTTTAATATGAACAGAAAACATGTCCCAGACTGTATATTCTGCTTATATTATAGTTCAATGATATCAGGGGTCGACATTAACACTATAGTCCGCTAGTCCTAGACTAGTAGATTTCAGCAAGGACTAGTGAATCACCTTACCTAACTGGTCCTTTGGACTTGTGAAAAATGTGATTATAAGATAAGAATATTCTTTTTTTTTAAATTTAGAAAACTGCTTAAAATAAGATATATTGCATGATAATTGTCAAAATTTTCCTAAAACTTCACCATATTTTTATGGCAGTAGTTATTTTAAGTCCCGGGGAATGTCCCCTACTTTTGATGTTTCGTGCTGTAGATCGTGATGTTTCCTTATCAGGAAATCTTGGACTAGTTACATTACCGAAGGACTAGTAAATAATCTATTCAACTAGTACTGTGGACTACCAAGCAAAAATGTTAGTGTCTAACCCTGGATATACGTACCGACTGTTGAGAAACGGATGCCGACTGGAGTCTTCTTGCCCACAAACTCAAACGGTTTGGCCTTACAGTACTTTGTGATGTCGTGGGTTACCTCAAAGTACCCAAAGGCACCTGAATATTCAAATATAAGTCAACAAAATTACAAACTTTTATCTACCATTACAAAACAAAGACATGTCACAGATATCTCAATGACACAACAGGATTATCTCTCCCTGTTAAAATACTGCCACAATATTTTAAGTTGAGGTTAACATTAAGTCATGTAGTTACATTAAATTTGATGATGTTAAACATCTAAGGTATAGAAATTCATTATATTCAATTATAACTTATTCTTGTCCGTTTTTTGTGATATTGAATTTATCCTTCAGGTCTTTGTATAACATTCAATATTGCGACCACACACAATTCACATGATATTAACGGGAATGTAATGTACTGACATGATATTAAGGGGAAATTACTGTAATGACATGATATTAAGGGGAATATACTAAAATGACATGATATTAAGGGAAATGTACTGTAATGACATGATATTAAGAAAAAAATGTACTGTTATGACATGATATTAAAGAGAAATGTACTGTAATGACATTATATTAAGGAGAAATGTACTGTAATGACATGATATTAAGAAAGAAATGTACTGTAATGACATGATATTAAATGGAATGTATTGTAATGACATGATATTAAATGGAACATACTTTATCGAAGTGAACACTGAATTACAATCTTTTATATCTGTGTGTACTTTGAAGTATGTACTTTTATCTTTCTGTTATGAAATGATGACTGTACAGAATGTAGCTATGGTCAGTTGTATAATTTCAGTTATCTGATGTCCATACATCATAACCTGTTACAAATCCATTTAGTATTATAGTTTTAGGGTGCCTCGGTAGCTGTGATCGCTTACACGCACAGACATTTCTACTGTTTGTAATAACTGGAAAGCGTGAGCTTCAGAACACTCCCTTTCCCAAGAATTTCGGTTTGATCCCCAGCGGTGGCGGCAAAAGAGAGTGATGTCAGATAGGGTTAGATGTTAACCCTCCGATGGCACGGTGGTTTTTCCCGTGGGTTTTCTTCCACAATGAAAACAACAAAAGGTTCCCTTAGAAGTGTCGTATTAAAAGCTCTACAGAGCTGATGTTTGAGGTTGACAATGTACACGACGTTAAATAAAGTTATATAATTCCCTTTAAGGCAAAGAGTACCACTTCCCCAGTTATGATCACAAAGAAGAGTTCCACTAGAGTATTTTTTACATGGATATTCTTAGAATTTAGAATTTACAGACCATAGACAATAGGTGTCAGGTGTCAGATATAGATTTTTTAAAGACCTACCGAAATTTTTATAGACTAGACATTTACCAAGAAAATTTTACTGATTTATTTATTGCAAATTTTTTTCTTCTTCATTTATATGAAATTAAGATGATACTTGCGTAATAATAAGGGAAGAAAAGTAATCTTACCGAGTTCACACCTTTTTTTTTTGCTCATTACTTTGCTTAACACTAAATCTGCACACACATAGATCTACCGTTATAGACAACTTTGTCTATATACGACGTAACTTCTACCCATAGACCGTCATTGTTTTTTATCGTGATTATCTATGGGTCTACAGTTTAATTTGAACACCATTTGGGGTATTCTCCGGGATCCCTTCTATATAAAAGAGGAAGCAACCCAAAAGGAGCTTTTCTGGCTTAGAGTTACTTCCCCTGCCAAGTTTATTCATAAGCTGTTGTGGGGCTTAAATTGGACATTTATTCTGATATATTTCAGTTATAATTCCGATAACGTGTAGGCTTTGTAATTTAATGGTGCTGAGTTTAACCCCTGCTGTTATAGTGTTTTATCTTTTTATTTCTTTTTTCAAACATCCTTCTGTTTACCCATATTTTTAACCCAACATTACAGGAATCACTAGTACTTTCAGCAATTTTTTTTCAATCAAAATAGATTTTTCATATTTTGTACAAGCCAAACATGAAAATACACTACCTATACCTGTCCCGATAGAAAATTTTCCAGCATTTAAACTCGGCGAGTTGGTAACCAGGGTCAGCATCAGGGACAATTGTGTTAGATCTTAATATTAAACAGGGTCTTGAAAAACATCATTACAAATGTTGTTTTGCAGACCAGGGTAAAATTAGCACTTTACTGCAATTTTGAATGTGTTATGTTTGAATGAAAAATTTAGTTTAAACTTAAATAAATAGGAAAGTAAAGTGCATTTAATAAGACAAACATCTTGAGGCAGTTGCCACTGTTCTTACAGAAAAATAGAAAAGATATGAATATATTGGTTGCCAAGCACATCAAACCAAAATCTGCCCACTGGATATCTCATTTTCTGTATATACAGGGTTCGGATTTGGGAGGTGTCAGTATACAAAGACTAATATTTTCTGTTCAGGGCTGTTCAAAATCCTAACGAACTATTTCTTTTTAAAAATGATCGTGGCTGCACATAATTGAATGTGGAAAAATATTTATCAAATTACTTTTATAAAGAGTGATCATGAACTCAAAACAGATTATGGTGTACATATAAGTTTTCATTGAAATGATCTGAGACATTTACCGACCAATAGGTAGGATACAGTGTACAATGTAAAGATAACCATGAAGTTTTTTGATAAGGTGCACGTACACACCACCAAGTGACAAATCTTGTCCTAGATTCTCTTCACCATTGATTACAGTAAATGTCTGTGAATTTCGCTGTTGATATTTTCTTTCCATTTCGTAACATGCTGTCTGCATTTACAGTGTGTCATTAACCCTTTCACCACTGTAGGTCATAATGGACTGATCCATATCAATGCATGGTAGAGTCTACTTAAGTTACATAGGGGTGAAAGGGTTTAAATATAATCCCTGATGTTATTAAAAACGAAACCAGTGAAACCCCCCACCCCACCCCCCTAAAAAAAATATAACAAACTTTAATTCAATGAAATTTCAGAATGTAAAATTTAAGCCATTTTTTTCCCAAAGAACTTCAATTTTCAAATTTTATTATTTATTATATTTGTACAACCACGTTTGTATTCATATATGTTTATTCTTAAGTAATTTTCATGATCTAGACAAAACCTTCTCTGCTTTAGACAGCTAGACTGTCATATTTAATTTGTAACAACAGGTAAATAAATTTATAAGTTCCCTGTTACATATTTTATTATAAAATAAAAAGGAAACAAATTTATCATTGTAAGTTTTGGGTATGTCCAACTATGGGATAGTGACAAAGTAATGGTAGCTGGTAGATACATAAAGACCATCAAACTTTATAAATAGATATACTTGTCTACACATTTGTTATCACCGACTTACCTGTATGAACTGGTGAACAGCTGATACAGGTCAAGGTCAAGGTCACGATTACATAGGTACAATGTAGCTTTACCTAGTTTTAGGTAACTCTACACCTCCTATACAAATTCAGCCACCTGCAGATACTGACATAGCCAGATAATGGTGTTTGTACTTTATTTAAAAAATTATCCCATGGATAGAATTCACTCAAGTGTGACAGAGAGGGAAACAGATATTTCACAGGAACGTTTAATAAGACACCAACTACAGAATACCATTTTTAGCTGCACATACAGGGGGTTTCATTTGTAGCCAGTGGCCAGTAAAAATACCCTCCTACTACAGATATTTCACAAGCTACCACTTTCATGAAACAAGAGGCCCAATGGGCCTGCATCGCTCACCTGGTATAAATCTCACACTTATAACCTTAAAAGTGATCTAAAATAAAGCTACAGACAAAATATCGGTATTTATGAATAAAATTCATTCAAAAGAACCTGTTAAACATTTCAACCCTGTCATTGAAAGTCGAAAAGGGTCATTATGTTGGAACAAATTGTATAGCCTTTCATCTCAGGATGCAACTTGCAAAATATCAACATTCCGGGACCCATGGTTATTCAGAAGTGGTTGTTTAAAGATTTTAAACAAATTTGACCCCTGTAACCTTGAATATAAGTCAAAGTCATTCATTTTAACAAACACGGTAGTCCTTGATCCCAGCATGCTACCGACTAAATATCAACATCCTGTGCCTTTTAGTTATTCATAAGAAGTTGTTTAATGGTATTTTTTAACAACTGACCCCTCATGCCTGTGTCCTTGAAAATGGGCGAAAGTCATTCATTTTTACAAACTTGGTAGCCCTTAACCTCAGCATGCTACTGGCCAAATATCATCACCCTGGGCATTTTGGTTATTGAGAAGAAGTTGTTGAAAGTTTTTTTAAGACAATTGACCTCTGTGACATTGGGCAGTTTGGTTATTGAGAAGAAGTTGTTGAAAGTTTTTTTAAGACAATTGACCTCTGTGACATTGGGCAGTTTGGTTATTGAGAAGAAGTTGTTGAAAGTTTTTAACATATTTGACCCCTATGACCTTGAATATGGGTGAAGGTCATTCATTTTAACAAACACGGTAGTCCTTGATCCCAGCATGCTACCGACTAAATATCAACATCCTGGACCTTTTGGTTATTCAGAAGAAGTTGTTTAAAGTTTTTAACATATTTGACCCCTGTGACCTTGAATATGGGTGAAGATCATTCATTTGAACAAAATTGGTTGCCCTTTACCCTAGCAGGCTACTGGCCAAATTTCATCACTCTGGGCATTTTGGTTATTGAGAAGAAGTTGTTTAAAGTTTTTAACATATTTGACCCCTGTGACCTTGAATATTGGTGAAGGTCATTCATTTGAACAGACTTTGTAGCCCTTCATCTCAGCATAATACTGGCCAAATATCATCACCCTGTGCACTTTGGTTATTGAGAAGAAGTTGTTTAAAGTTTTTAACATATTTGACCCCTGTGACCTCGAATATGGGTGAAGGTCATACATTTGAACAAAATTACAAATTCCATAATCGATATTATCAGTCACTGAACAAAATGTCAAATTTATACAATGTGTACATTACGTTTATTTGTTGTGTTAATTTTTATCATATGATTGATGTCATTCAATCAATGTAGAAAAAATACCCCTAAAACTTCATAAAAGTTGGTTGTAACAGAAGGAAACCTAATTTAAAGTAAGCAACCATGTACACTGCTATTACAATAATGTTGACAATTTATTTATGCATACAGTCTCATAAAAATGTAAAATGATCTTGCAATCGATCATCATTGATTGGTTTACAGTTTTCGATTACAAACTGATCATCAATTATGATTTGAAACAGACTGCCGATGGCTACTGACATCTAGTATATATGGATTAGCCATGGCTACTGACATCTAGTATATATGGATTAGACATGGCTACCGACATCTAGTATATATGGATTAGACATGGCTACTGACATCTAGTATATATGGATTAGCCAATTCGATACTGTAGATCATTTGATCCAAAGCTTTGGCAAGACACAAGCCAAGGACTGTCTTCCTCCAAAATGTGATTTAAAAAAATATTTCAGCAATGAGCTAAGCATTACCAATGCATGTGATTCCTAAATACACCTAAAATCTATGTAGGTCATGGAGACCATTTGCAGGTTGACCTGCGGAAATACGACTTGGCTGGTATGCATGGTATCTAAATAAAGCACTGACAGAACAGCAAGGCCCCCACCATGTACCTGAAAGTAAACCCCCTCCCCCCACCCCCCTGGGTCTATTTTTAGTAACAGTGACCTTGACCTTTGACATTTTTAAATCCCTAGTGCACATCTACATATCACAGTGTATCACCATATCAAATTTCAAAAAGATTGTCATTTGGATTTCAAGATAAGGATTGTAACCCCTCATTGTCTATCTTAAGTTACAGTGACCTTGACCTTTGAACTTTCTAAACCCCTATTGCACATCTAAACATCATAGTGTATCACCACGTCATATTTCACAAAGAAAAGTCTTCGATTTTGAGACAGTTACTGGAAATGAAAGTAAGCGTGGACAGACTGAAGGACAGATGGACACAGGGAATACAATAGATTACTGACATCTCTGATGCAGGGGCCCTATGATATCATATCAGTTAGAGGTACATTGTAGTAATGTTTAGGCAATGATGTTACTATAGCATTGAAGTTATTTCAGTGATGTTATCTTTAAGACATGATGTTATTCAAATATTAAGTGATGTTGTTTTAGTGATGTTATTTTAATGTTGTGGATTTTGTGTTGTTGTTTAAGTGTCGATGTTGTTTTAGTGTTGTTGATTTAGTGTTGTTTTGTTGTAGTGTTGTTGTTTTAGTGTATATGTTGTTTTAGTGATGTTGATTTAGTGTTGTTGTTTCATGTTGATAATGTGTTAGTGTTGTTGATTTAGTGTTGTTGTTTTATTGTTGATGTTGTTTTAATGATGTTGTTTTAGTTATGTTGTTTTAATGTTGTTGATTTAGTGTTGTTGATTTAGTGTCAATGTTTGCTATTTAATCCTTGTTTAGTGATGGCATAGTTTTAATAATGTTGCGAATAATGATGCTTTCTAAGTGGTGTTGCTAAGATGACAGTGATTTAGTGGTGTTGATTCAATGATGCTATTTAGTGGTGTTGATTCAATGATGCTATTTAGTGATGTTGTTTAAATGATGCTATTTAGTGATGTTGTTATTTAAATGATGCCATTTAGTGATTGTGTTTAAATGATGCTATTTAGTGACATTGTTAAAATGTTGCTATTTAGTGATGGTGTTATTTAAATGATGCCATTTAGTGATTGTGTTGATGCTATTTAGTGATCGTGTTTAAATTATGCGATTTTTTGATGGTGTTGATTAAATGATGTTGTTTAGTAATGGTGTTAAAATGATGCTATTTAGTGATGTTGTTATTTAAATGATGCTATTTAGTAATGTTGCTATTTAAATGATGCTATTTAGTGGTGTTGTTATTTAAATGATGCTATTTAGTGATGTTGTTATTCAAATGATGCTATTTAGTAATGTTGCTATTTAAATGATGCTATTTATTGATGTTGTTATTTAAATGATGCTATTTATTGATGTTGTTATTCAAATGATGCTATTTAGTAATGTTGTTATTTAAATGATGCTATTTAGTGATGTTGCTATTTAAATGATGCTATTTAGTGATGTTGTTATTTAATTGATGCTATTTAGTGATGACATGTTGTTATTTAAATGATGCTATTTAGTGGTGTTGATTAAATGATGTTGTTTAGTGATTGTGTTTTAATAATGCTTTTTAGTGATGGTGTTGTTTAAATGATGTTATTAAGTGAAGGTGTTTAAATTATGGTATTTAGTGAAGGTGTTCAAATTATGCTATTTAGTGATTGTGTTTAAATTATGCTATTTAGTGATGGTGTTCAAATTATGCTTTTAAGTTATGGTGTTGATTAAATGAGGCTGTTAAGTTATGGTGTTGTTTAAATTATGCTATTTCGTGAGGGTTTTGTTAAAATTATGCTATTCTTTAAATGATAATTGACTTTTGATTATATCGATTGTTACAGATTTTTTAACAGAATAAACCAGTGGTCAGGTAAGGACACTGACCTCCCCCCTTGGCGTGGACGACTCGTTCTGGGATGCGCTCTCTGTTGAAGTGAGCCATCTCATCTGTGAAGGTAAAGTCCTGAATAAGGACAGGCCCTCGTGGTCCAGCGGTCAGTGTGGCTGTCTTAGTGCCCACCGGGGCACCTGTTCCTGTGGTCAGCACATCTGCTTTCTACAAGGAGCAGAATCATTAAAATTACCCTGGTTCTAAGCGAAAATAAAAATATTACTATTCATTATAGTTAAGCTGGGCTTCCAATATATATAAATATTGACAATTAAAACCTTTGAATCAAAAGATCAATGGATTTTTTTGTTAATCTAAGCTTCATTAGATCAAATTGACTGGAGTCTACCTGCTTGCACTGAGCATTTAAACTGCACTTGTATATTAGTGTACTGTACAGTTCAACTTCGACATATCATGAATATCGAGATAAGTGCATACAACCAAATGAAAATATCATATATTACTAAAGAATAATAGACTGAATAGGCCTAGTTTGAGTTGCAAGAAAACCATCACTGTGAAGCATTCAGAAGGCTACGTGATTATAGTCTGTTTGTGACCTATACTGTAACGTTAACTGCATTCATAAACAGACCGATTGGGCTTTCTTGAAATCTGCCAGTTGGTTCGTTGCTTTGTCTCTGTTTGCCATCTTTGCTAGATCCTGTCAGCTCCAAACTACGTCTGTGTTCCCAAAGTGTTGAAGTTCGCAACGTTCCAGAGCGGTGACACCTTTTATAACTTGCTGATTATATAAAGAGATCGACCAAGGGTCGCCCCGAGAAATTCCGAATGCAGTAACTGAACATTTCAAGGTAAAAGTCCGAGACATTCAAAATAATTGAAACTCTTCTATAAAGGAGACGTGAAAAGAGACTGCTCGATTTATTGCCTTAGCAGACGGATGTTTTTATGTTGCCGAAACCACATCATCATGTCGCGTTTTCGAGAGGACTGTAGTTAACACGTGTGCATTTTTTATAAATGAAAACCGAAAAACACTTGCAACTGAAAATTGTATTTTAAAAAATGCGAACAAACCTATCTAAACAAATTTCACATAAGATCAGCGTTCAAAGAAAGACAACTCGAATACACTAACAAAGTGATTTTAAATATCCGCACTGAACTCAACAAATTGGGATTAACTTACCTTTGGGAAAATGTTAGCAATGATAGAAATATCTATACAATCATTGAGCAAAGACTTTTCGACTTTTACCGGCAGGAAATATTAACTAATATCCAAACAACTCCGAAAGGATTCCTTTATCAACATCTAATAGATACTTTTTCTGTGCAATAATATTTAATAAAACCAATTAATAATTCATATAAAAAGACTTGTAATATCACTGTCACTAACGTCAGGTGTAACATCGTATTTATTACACTATGGCTGTGTATTTTATTGTTCTTGACTGTTCTACTATAGATTGTATTTATTCGTGACATGTGCGATACAATGTATGTAACTATATTAAATCGTGTTATCATTACCTGTAACGTACGTCATTGAAAGTTATCATAGTAGTATTATCATTGTAATATACTATTGTTATGATTTCACTGTATCGGAACCTTACGATGTTGGTGTATTTCAGTGTAAAATGCTGTCTCTTATGATATGTCATTTTGTAGTACTGCACGATTAATGAGTTATCACGTATATGCCTGGCCACCGCGGCCCCCAACTTATGCAGGCAAATGCAAGAAACAAAGTTGATGTTGAAAAACTCCAAAACTGTAAATGCAGTGATTTTTAATAAAATTAATCGAATGAATTGTCATGCATTATTATGCAAGGATGTGGAGGAGAGAAAACTCGGCTATCATCAGAAAAGGTCTTGGTATATTTAGCAGCAGATGATTAATAGAACACATATCTCTGAAATCGTAAATGAGTCTTGTTATGTTACAGACCTAGGATTGATGAGGTTTGTATACCGTGAGGAAACAAAGGCAAGCTGTTAGACCTCACCTTAAATATACGCTTCTATTGTATCAAATCATATCAGTCAGGGTGGTCGACTGATGCAGTGGATAACGCACTCGGACTTTCACCAAAGCGACCAGGGTTCGATTCCCCGAGCGGACGTGAAAAGGTATGACATATATTCCACTTTTCTGTTTTCAGTAACAATGACATTGACCTTGGAAACTTGTTAAACTTCTCGTAGCCTACGTAAGAGACATATAAAGCCGTGTCTGCCTACGTCTACGCCTACCGAATAATTGACTTACTTCGATTCATCATATTGAAGATTATGTCAATGTAGGGTTGCGAGAGTGTGTGCATGGCAAAGAAGGATGTGTAGTCGTGTGTATGAAATGCTAATGATTTAGAGAGTGAAGTTTGGTTTTAAATTGAAGCTACCATGTTAGGAGGCAATTTATTCCACTCTGTGATAGTACGTGGAAAGAAAGAGAATTTACGACAGTAAGCTTTACAGTGACCATGAGGAATCTGATAGGAGAGATGACGTGAATGTCTGGATTGTCGTAACTGTGGTGTCAAGTGCAGGCCTTTATTGATGGTAATTTTATTGTATGATATTCTATACGTCATAGTAAGACGGGCGTCCTTACGTCTATCAGCGAGGCTGGGCCAGTTTAGAGGTTAGATCATGTAACTATAACGATTGAGGCGTTATGATAGCGGTTAGTGACAAATCTTGCACAATACCAAGTTTGTTTATATCACCTTTTTGGTATGGATCCAACACAGAACTAGTAAAATTCTAAAGATGGGCGCAGTACAGATGTGTATCCTTGTTCTTTTTTTGTTTTTTGAGTTTACTTTTAATTCGCGCCAAATGAAGTCTAATGTTTTATTTGCTATGCTGTACTGTCGTTACCGTGGGAATCCCATGTCAGATCTTGTTGCGTACGATTTGGTAAGAAATTTCCTATCCTGATGCCGTAGTGGTGAAGTTTGTGAAGCAGCAAGTTGTGACTGACTTTGTCAAAAGCCTTAGATAAATCGAGAATGGGAACATCAGTCTGTTTGTGATTTTTTCATTTTTTTAGACACATCCTCATTAAATTCAATTATTGTGTTTCGCATGACATAGACTGTCTGAAACCATGCTGTTGTCGATACAAGATGTTGTTGTCGGCCGCAGTGTCATGATGGAACTGACAACTACAATGTATGTGTTCAAGCACGGACTTAGATAATCTAATTCCGTGGTTCAAGTAATTTACTGCAGATACATATCAAAGAAATAGGCCTACAATTTTCTGGATCATATTTTGTTCCTTTTTTAAATATAGGGGGAACCTATGCGAATTTCCGATCATTGGGCACTGTACCAGATTCAATAGAATGATTGAAAAGTAAGCTCAAGATTGGTGATACCTCAAGAGCCATCTCCTTCAAAATATTCTGTTTTATATTGTCTGGGGCCTGCCGCTTTTGTTGGGTAAAGATTTTTCAGTATTTTTGTGACCCCTTCATTTGTTATATGTATGTTGTTCAGGATGGTGTAATTGTGGTTTGGCATGTTATAGTTTTTGTTTAAAATCTGCAGAAGTTATTGTGTCAGGTTTTGTGAAAACTGACTGGAATTGTTCATTTAAAATCTCTGCTTTTGTGTGGGAGTCCGTGAATGACTTGCTATCTTTCTTTAATGAAGCTATACCATTATGGTCTTTATTTATGCTGAATATATGTCCAAAAATATGCCATTCAATGGTAAGTATTGTCATTTTTGTTTATGGTGTAACATATTTTTCGATGTACCCCCAATATGCCTGCCTTATTAGTTTTTGTATTCGGTGTTTCAAAGACTTGAATTTCACTTTCAGGTCTACATGTCCAGATTTTTTCATTTTCTTATAAAGGCGGTCACGGGGGCGATCCAGGGTTGACCGTCTTTGGATTTTGCGGTTTTGTGTGGTATATGTTTTTCTACATAATCATGAACAGTTTCTTTAAACATTTGCCAAATTTCATCGGTAGATTTGTCACTGTTAATAAGGTAGTCGTGCAGAGAATTTATATTTTCCTATCGAGCTTTTCTATAAAGTGTGATGTTTCGAGGCGTTTGGATGATCTTGTTGGGGTTACATAGGTAATCAACAAAGACCATATCGTGGTCAGATAAACCTGGCATTACTGCAGTTCGCTGTTTTTGGTTTGGATTGTTTGTGATCACAAAGTCTAGGGTGTTGTTTACTCTAGTTGGTTCATGGACCGTTTGAGTTAAGTCTGTATCACCAAGAAGATCTAGAAATTGCATGTTGAGTTGAATTTGTTTTGAGAACTCCACTTTCCAGTCAATACCAGAATAGTTAAAATCACCGCCGATTATAAAGGAAGCATTTTTCATTAGAGCTGCTCTTCTGACGGTTACATCAATGCCCTTGGCACTTTGAGTGTCAGATGTTTTCGGGATATAATAGGAACATATGTACAGTGATCTGATGCCCACAATGTCGAGTTTGGCCCGAATGATTTCACAGTCTGAGGAGGGGGATAGAACATCTACCTATGTGCTTATGAAGTCATTGGAGATAGCGATGAGTACACCTCCCCTTCCTTACAACCCTCTGGGGTTTCCTGCCTTTCCGATACATATTGAAATCGGGTGGAAAATATTCAAAGTCTTGGATATTTGGGGTTTAGCAATGATTCTGTGCCAATGTTTTTATCTGGCGTTTTACTGTCTAGTATGTTTGACAAAAACTGTTTCTTATTTTTGATAAATTGAAATTTGATGCTCAATATCCTCACGTTTTTTTTTATTTATATGGTATTTACTTTTCGTTGTAGGAGTTGATGAGTGGATAGGGATGGGGTTCTCAGCATCTATGGAGGTTTACAGTAAGCTATCAAAGGGACAATATATAGCAATACCATGAAGATCAAAAGTGATGGAACTATAGTTTGGCTTGTTGCATTGTATACAATACCAGCTTACCATACTGTCATTGAGATCTTCATATGACTGAGTGTGTATGTTCTGGCAGTCAATATGATACTATTGGTCTCATGATTCACAATAAATGCCTCGATGATCCCATGTCACAGCCTGGTCGCATGAACCACACATGTACTTTTTACTTATCATTACAAGGGCCAGGATTAATTTGACAATATGGCATTATCCTTGAAAACTCGTTAAATTCCTCGTAGTCTACGTCAGAACCATATAAAGCCGTCTCTGCCTACGTAAAGTAGCAACATACCATCCTCGATATCCAGCGGTTACGCTCACTTTCGCTCTCTGCAACCCTGGAATATGTCATAGCAAAATTGAAGGCTCATTGTGCACCACCTTGTGGATGAGAAGAGAAGACTAGTTTGATAATTATTTTGATGTACATAAAAAGCATCTCACGGTCGAATTACGGTAAAATTTATTGGCTTTGAAGTCAGGTGTCGCTCTTTCGTAATCTTAAAAGCACAGATATATCAGCCTGCGACTGGTCAGGTATTTTTCACCCGATACCAATCAATGCAAGCTTGAGCGTCAGTCTTTTAATTCGGGTGTCTGCATTGAATCTCTGTCAGGTTCCATTGTGTTTCCCACAGTGATACATATGACTAACCTTTGTTTTCAGTAGAGGTATAGTGCGTGTACATTGCAAGGAAAATCCAAAACCTAGTTTGAAAAAAGTGTTGTCTTTTAGGGCAAAGATTTAAAACAAATAGAACGATGAGTGTAGCGGAGCTCACTTGGTCTTTATACGTTAAGTCCAAGTGAATAGATATATAGCTCATTTTGTTAGCATGTTCAGATATAGGTCGAAAGTCCTGGGTTCGAATCCCAGTCTTGTCCCGTTTCATTATTTTTATATTGCTCTCTTATTACAGTTAGTGTTATCAATGACAAACATTTTAGGAAAATGAAAACAAATAATAAATGATTATAAATAACAACAGAAATCACTGAACATGTCTTTAACTCAATGCAGTCAACCAGACATAATACATGTACTGGCACAATTGTCAAGATTGACGGTGCAAGTAACCCATAAGAAGAACAACAACTCAAATTCAAATTAAATGCATCATATCTATTGACCATAATTCTTGTTTAATGTCAAATATCATTAATGATCCAATTACATAAATGCATCTAATAATAAATATTTTGAAATCTTTGAGCATTTTCATTCGACAATCAAGTACCATGTGATCACCAGTAAAACAAAGTTTGGTCTGGATGATTCAATTCCTGCATAACAGGCAGAACTTGTATTCACCTGGTGACACGTACCACATTCCGTATTAGCACAATCTAATGCTTGAAATGGATGGCAGGTGATGACATATAGGCGCCAACAGTGATGGTATGGTAAATATATCGTCAACTTCAGGTACACTTATTGGTCGTCAGATGGCACAATGGGTGATTGGGTAGATACATATCTCTATAGATTTTATATTGTATGTAAACTTGTAAACGTCCGGTTAGTAACATTGATATATTGTTAGTAAATAGTAATTAAACTTGTAAATTTCTGCTTACATTGGCTGGGAATTTTTAAGTAAATATCTATGTACAGTTGCAGAGACAAAATTCAACATCTATGCTCTATTCTGAATGAATTTAACACACTGCATTTTGACAATTAGATAGTTTAAAATAAATATACCATAATTTAGGTCCCATTTGTTTTCCTTCAGAATTTTCTCAGTAACAGAATGTTAAGTTTTTCTGTGTAAAAGATTTTCAAAACAATCTTGATAATGAACACATTTTTTTTTATCACACAAATCAATTGAATGATTTCATAAAAAAATCAAAATCTGTGAGTTCCAGATATCGAACCCAGAAATAAAGGACAACATAAACATCCAGGTCAATATATAGGACAACATAAACATCCAGGTCAATATATAGGACAACATAATCATCCAGGTCAACAACTAGGACACTGAAGATGGAACTTTCTTGGTCAATATCCTGATCACTGATTACTTTATATTCCAGTCCTTATAATCCCATCTTTCTGTAGCTGCATGGGCAGATCGACACCCCACACTGAAATATAAAGATGATATGATTAACTTATTTACCTCCTGTCCAATTATTCTTGAATATAAAATGTGAGAGGCGCCTCCCATAGGTATATTTTCAACCCTCCCAAAAAAACTTGTTTGACCTTTGAGGCTTTGACCTTTTAACCCTTTAACCATTTGACCCATATACTATGGTGTTGATATAGAATGAAAGGGCAGCAGGTTTTGTACTGCAGGTATAATTTTTACAACCAAACCAAAGAATCCAGAAAAATAAAATGCAGTCATAGTCTATTGTAGTTTAAAAACTAATTAAGTATTTGATAATTACATCCTTTTATTAAACATGCAATTCCCAATCAAGATGGCCACTTTCATGATGGAAGCAGACATTTAAACTTCTTAAATTTTACCAGGCCAATCGCAAAAGGTATAATGAAACATTTGTCACAATTTCCTGATCAGATGCTGGCTAACCTGTCCTCTGATTGGCCAAAACATTTTTGACATAATCTTTAACTTCATCAGATCAATTCAACCAAATGCTGTACGAATGTTTTTTCATAGCCCTAACTGAATTTTGTTTTGTATTGTCCAGTTCAAATAACAGAAGAAATAGGTGAGCGATACAGGCCGATGGGCTGTTGAGGTTTTGAGAAGATATTATACCTATTTCTTGTAAGAGTTAAGGAGTTTCTGGATGCCCCCTCCGAAGTCGGGATGAACCTGGGTAAAGTTGTGGACCGTTCTTTTCTGAATGAATTCCTGGGCATCCTTCAAGTGACCCGCGATGTTCTCCACCAATCGTTGACGTTCCTCTGGCTTCAACACCTACAAAACAAAGACACTAATTTGTAAAAAAAATAAATTATTAGATTACTTCATTTATATATGATAATGCTCAATGATATAAGATGACATCTTTAATAAGATTCTCCGGTTCGGAAATTTTTATTTTTTTACTTTATACACAATCAGTGTGCATATTTAACATGTTGCAATGTTTCAAGACCTACTGGTCCCTTAGTCAAGTTAGTCAGAGCTTGTGTATAGGCCGATTTTTCTCTGGCCCTGACACCAGACTAAGACATTTTGACAGATAGATGTTTGCCCACACCAGACATCTATCTGTCAAAATGTCTAAGTCTGGTGTCAGGACCAGAGGAAACTCGGGCTAGTTTGTGTATAAAGTAAAACTTTGATATTTGATATAAGATAACAATTTCATAGGTCAGTCCAACCTTGTAATCGGAACAGTTCAGTCCCAATAGGAAATATCTGGATTCCTGAAGTAAGTTAAACAGTTTTTATAAGGGATTAAAACTTTCGAAATATAAGGTTAAATTGACCCGATGCTGGAGATGTATTTAATAGATCAGGGATATTGCTAATGTTTTTCAGATTTTCCGTTACTATCCCACATCCAATGGAAGTTTCTACTAGTTAATACATGATATTGGCTGACCATGACTATTTATGCTACATTTTTCCTGTATATATCTGGAATGTAATGAAAGACCATTTTACTGTAGATTCTATGATCTTTGAGATGGGTGCTCAAATTTAGGATTTTGATAATTATATCTGTTGAGTTTCGCAAAGTTTGGATGAAAACTGTATGGAGAATTATTAAAATATTTTGCTACAATTTTTTCATAAAGGGCGTAAATCCCATAAAACAGATGTATTGAAGAAATGCAAACAAAAGTGTTCAAATTCAGACTGATTATATTCAGAGAAAAAATAAACCTGTCGAAACAAGATTCCCTCTAAAGATAGATGAATTGGATGGACAACCATGCAGTTATTCCAATATCTCCCAATTTCCTTGCAGGAGGAATAATTAAAGCATGGGAAAACATTTGGTGAGTTGAACTCATTCACCCCTAAAGACACATTTGAACTCTTCCAATTGAAAGGTTGGAATAGTTCATCATGAAATTCAGGGGTGAATGAGTTAATTTTGATGACCCGTGCACATGGGTCACCAAATAATCCTGACAATAATCCTGAAAGTGAAGGAGAAAGAATCTTTAACAAACAAAGATGCTGACTGACCTTGTTCCAGAAGAGAGTGACCTGTGAAAAGTTGTCCTCGTCTTTAGTCTCGTATCGTTTGACATCGCCGGCGGGGCAGAAGGAACACTCCAGGTGCTTACTATCGTCTTGTGGGCCGGAGAAACTGTTCGGGAAGTAGTTTGGCCCGTTACCTGGGGAGACATATGCATATATATTTCCATTTGTAAAATTTGTTCTGGTGACAATATGAATACTGTTCTTACACGGGAAATTTTCTTCCACCGTTTAATTTTTCGCCTTTTCTGCACCTCTGTAATAAGGGTGAATTTATCATTAAAACGGATATCAGTATACAACATAACAAACATATTAGTCGAAATATGAGGAGCCAAATCAATGGTGAAAGTTTGACTGGGCTAAGTTTCTCAAAATACAGTAATAATTTAATCTTGCTTGTAACAAGCATTTTCATTGGCTTAAACATTTATGTTATCGGCCCATAACGTAAAAAACGACGTCACCGTTTGTAACGTCGTTTTTGATTGACTGATACAGCAGCGCAATAATTTCTAAGAGAAAAGAGTCCATCAATAAACAGTAGATTAAATTATAAGGATTAACTTGAATATATTTTTCATGTTATGGAGCTAAAGCACAAAAAAACGTAGTGTACTCTCATCATAATCAAGAAATCAAGATGTCACGACCACAGAATTTTGAAGCCAAAATATCCTGGCTGTCGAGTTCCACATATTTAAGTTGTCTGCAATGCATCCAAAATGTCTTGGCTACAGAAATAATTTAACAATGAAAGAACATTTGGGTCCTAACTACAGAGGTTTTGTATTCAAAATCAACGTCTCCTTATTAACTCATTCACCCCTCAAACTCCATAATGAACGGATCCAACCTTTGAATTGGAAGAGTTCAAATGTTTCTGCAGGGGTAAATGAGTTGAAAGCTTAAGTTCTGCAGAATATTAAGATATTATTGCTACCTTGGTTGTCGCCGACACACTGTGGTCCATCACGCTGATAGTTGTTGACCTTCGTGCTGAAGGGACAGTTGACGGCCAGCTGAAGGTAGTTACTGCCCAGTCTGTGTCGGTGGGTGTCCGAGTACGAGAACAGACGACCCTGTAACAACCAATAACACACATTAAGGATCCGGGTATTTGGTAAAGTAATTCATTTCTGAAAAGAAGGATGTTCCGTCTTTTCATATTGCAGAGTTATCTGCTTTTGTGAGCAGGTATTGATTGTTACGTCATTAGTTTGTGTGAGAAAATTACGTCGTTTTCTCAAAAAATGATGACGTTACTCTCACAAAAAATGACGTAACAATCAAGACCTGCTATCATGAGCAGATAACTCTGCAAAACGAAAAGACGAAGGTTAAGGTTCTATATTCCTCACCTATCACCAGGACGATTGTACAGTTCCCACCTTAGTGACCCACCTCTTGGCTACACTGTTCTACATGAAGTCTTACCTGTAACATCTTGTCGGGGCTGGCCTCGATACCTGGAATCATGTGTGCAGGTGAGAATGCAATCTGTTCCACTTCCGCAAAGTAGTTCTTGGGATTTCTGTTCAGTTCCATCTTCCCGACTTGGATCAGAGGGAAATCTTTCTGTGGCCAAACCTAAAACGCACAACAGACATGATTTTTATGTTTAATAGTTCAAGGTGCCCCGAGTGTTTAGGCGTCTGACCGTCTATAATCACTAGTATAGCCCTCCACCACTCGGTCGTGGGTTCCAGGCCTAAGTGGGGCAATTGCCGGCTACTGACCGCAGATCTCTGGTTTTTTTTACTGGTACTCAAGCTTTCCTCCACCATCAACACCTGACATGTCATAGCTGTTAATAGGATGTTAAACACAAACAAACAAACAAACCCCATAATAATAACATTATGATTAATGGAAGTACTTAGACAGTTTCTGATTAAAAATATTAGCATATAAGTATTCTTGTATTGTACCTGGTTAAAACAGTATTGAGTTTGTGTAAATTTATTTGGTATTCATGACAAATGAGTTTAAATAAGTGACCTCTAGCTTCCCAGTCCGCCACTCTACCGATTGAGCTAAAAGGAAATTCCCTCTAGTGTTAAGCTATGCAGTGATTGCAATCGTATGTACACTTAAAATGTTACACTATTTCCCCCTTTTTGAATGTGTTTGCCCTCAATCACCACAGCAAACCAGGTTCTAACTCCCTGTCATCGAAGGGAGGGCAAAGGCCACCAATCGTAACAATGCAGATCCACATATGATCCAACAAACAGTTAAGGAGAGGGTGCTCTTACACGGTTTCTGAAGCAGAAATGTAAAGTTTCAAGGCCAATACTCCTAGAAAATCAGTCACAAGTTCCTTTCTTCACGCACATCTTCATTTGGTATACTTTTACTGTACAAAGTTTTAAAAATATGTAACAAATGGTTAAGGAGAAGTTGCTCTAACAAGGTTATTTGAGCAGAAATGTTTTAAAGTTTCAAGGGTAATAACTCACGAAAAAAGGTTAAATCGTAAATTATTGTCTTCGTGAACATATCTGCATATGACGTTGCAAAAAACATTCAGTTTTGGAGGAGTTGCACTTACGAAGTTCATGGACAGATAAATGGACAGACAATACTGTTCAAGCGGTATGAAAAGCTATAAAAGAATACCTTTGTGAGGTCAAATGGGTTGTATGAGACCTTCTCTGCCTCCTCAAAGGTCATGACCTGGATGTAGACTGTCCATGAGGGGAAGTTCCGGTCTGCGATAGCATTGAACAGATCCCGGATTGCGTAGTCGGGGTCAGTCATGGACAGCTCTGCGGCCTGGTCAGCCGTCAGGTTCTTGACGCCCTGGTCAGTCTGTCAAATTACATCAAATGACATGAACAGTGGTATAGACATGCAGTGTCTAATTATTACTGTAAAAGAGGACATTTTCGGGGTGTGAAAATGCTCTTGTTTTTCGTGTTGAGTAAATTTGGACAAAAAAATGAATATAAATTTATATGATTATGAAAACTATGGATATATAAGAGTATGTCGTTTTTAGAAGCAATGCCAACAAAAAAAAAAAAAAAGGTTTACGCTGCAATCAGGTTAAACAGTGATAACGTGAACACACGAGAACTTCCACTTCTACAGTTATCAAATTTCATCTCATATAAAAGTACAGATTTTAAGCTGGTTTCCCCCTCAAAATAATTTTGTGTATGTTCCTTTTGGACATATTGAATTATTAAACTGTGTTGTTCGGTTATAATTCTTTTTTCCTAGCTCTATCTGCAACATTATCCTTGATCTATATTATATGAAAGGTAATTTGGGCATGCATACATCAAATTTAACCAATGTTTCAAAATCCTCAACATATCAATATATTATACATATACGTTTACCTTAAAGTGGAATTTGCAGTATACAGGCTTGCCTTCTCCATTGACCATCTTGAAGGTGTGACTCCCATACCCGTTCATTTTTCGGAAGCCGTCGGGTGTTCCTCGGTCGGAGAACAGGAAGGACACTTGGTGGGTGGTCTCGGGCCGCAGGGAGATGAAATCCCAGAACATGTCAGGGTCCTAGTCAAACAAAAAGTTATATGATATACAAGTACAGCAAATACAATATACAGGTAGTTAGAGCAAATACAACGTACAGGTACATCAAATACAATATACAGGTACAGCAAATATAATACACAGGTAGTAGAGCAAATACAATGTACAGCAAATACAATATACAGGTAGTAGAGCAAATACAACGTACAGGTACAGCAAATATAATATACAGGCAGTAGAGGAAATACAACGTACAGGTACAGCAAATACAATATACAGGTACAGAAAATATAATATACAGGTACAGCAAATACAATATACAGGTACAGCAAATATAATATACAGGTACAGCAAATACAATATACAGGTAGCTAGAGCAAATACAACGTACAGGTACAGCAAATACAACGTACAGGTAGTAGAGCAAATACAATATACAGGTACAGCAAATACAATATACAGGTAGTAGAGCAAATACAACGTACAGGTACAGCAAATATAATTTACAGTACTATGTTTATTGGTAGATATTTTTACAGATACACATTTGTATGCAGGTAGGTACATTGTATAAACAAAAAAATCAGTATATACAGCAAATATTTATAATTAAGGTACAGTGTGCAATAGGATGTATCTCACCTACAAATATACAAAGATGGGTACCTTGAATTTAAAATACATGTTTTCAGATAACATTCTATTATCACAAAATTTAACGTCTATTTTGAATTGTTGATATTGCCAAGAGGTTTTTTTTATGTTAATTTTTGGAATGTGATTTTTGTCCCAATTTGCGATGAACATATACCTCTATGGAAGAAAATTTTCGGGAGTAAACTGCAAATTTTGGGAATAAGGCATGAATATGAAACATGGTACTGTAACTTCAGTTAGGGTATAAATATGGAGCCCTTATAATTGTCCCCTAAAATCCCCAGAAAAAGCCCTGATATCAGTTAGTTAGATCACATTTTATGCCAGTTACATAAATGTATCAAATAATTTTTCAGCTAAACAAAATGATTGTAAGACATCAGATGCCCATGCTGCCAGGTTAACTCAGCATAATTGTGCGACAATTTTTCTATAAATAACATGTGCAGAATGAAAGCCCTGCCAAAAGAAACAGAGAAAATTGTTAAACCCATTCACCCCTTAAGACACATTTGAACTCTTCCAATTCAAAGGTTGGAATAGTTCATTTTTAAATTTTAGGGGTGAATGAGTTAAAAATATTCTTAATAAAACCGGAGTTAAAACGGGAACATACCTTCAGATGGGTCTGTGGATTTCTCTTCTGTGTGTGGATAAAACTGGGGAACTGGAATAAAGGAAGTGAGAAAAGCATGTAAATATTTTATATTTTCAAATATACTAATTATGACGCGCTACATTTTACATCAAATTTTGAGAACTGTCATTATAATTAAGCAGGATTTTATTTTTTGTTTCGTTAAATTAATTTAAAAGATTTTAAACAGACACAAGGTTTAGCATGGAAAGCGTAGAATTCACTTAAACCATAAAGCAAGTAGCAAGGTACCTAAACAGTATTAACTACTGTCACTACATCGGTAAACATTCGCTCAATAATCGACCTTCACCGGTAAAATCCATATTCGCCTATTGTAAATATCGCCCTTCACATGTAGTTCCTATATAAAGTATGCTGAGTACTAAACTTCAATGTCTCTAGAAATTACCCGTTATTGTGGATGGCGAAAATAAAAAGCGAAAAGTAAAGTGTGTCGAAACTCTCTCGATATGTATAGTTTGTCTCACCTACACGTATAATACCATTCTTGAATCTTTGCTGCAGTTTAATTTTGCCTTTTTTGCACTCCGTAATGNTATACATAGTAATTAAATGTGAAGGGTGAGTTTAGTACGTTCTATTGTGTGAACATGGATTTTATCGTTAAAGGACGAAAAATGTGACTTGGCGAACATTTCCCGGTATACAATATGTCAAAGTATTTTCATGCAACATGAGATTTTCTTTTTCCAATGCCACACTCCCTCTCCATTCATGATACAAATCCATATGGGTCACTACAGTTGAACTAGCCCTTGAATGTTAGGGCTAATGAAAATTTCAATTATCTTAAAACTATGGAACTAAAGGTTGGAATACTAAAACTGTTCATAATCTGCATGTGGATTCGTAAAATATTATATTGTAACATAACTCTGGATATCCATTAGTTATTTTCATGCATGCAAATAATAGGGGACTAAATTGATATTGTTGAGGGTTCTGAATGGTTTGTACCAAAGATACAGGAAAACAAAAATCGTAAAACTAGTACTAATTATGGGTATACCCCGACCCTGCGAACCAAAAATAGGGGACTCAATTAATATTTTTGAAGGTTCTTAATGGATCTTGCCAAAGTTGCAGGAAAATCCCTGACAAAAATCGGCGAAGGAGGTCAGCAATAGTGGGTCAGAGGTCAGACCTCTCCCCCTGCTATGATGAGGTTTATAGATTAACAGTTAATGCTGATTATGATAGCATACACAATGCAACCTACAAATATGGGGTCACGGATGAAGAAGATTGGTGTATTGTTGCCGACCAGATCCCAATTTCCTTCCTCAGTATAAAATTTTACGGCAAATCCACGAGGATCACGCGCGGTGTCAGCGGACCCACTTTCACCTCCTACAAATCACAAAAGCATTTTAGTTTCAATGATGTATTTTTTATAAAATATACTTACATATAAGATAACTCCAATAATTCTCTTGTTATCATAACAAGGGCCTTTTACCAGTAAATGATCTATTAAATTATGGTGACCTTGGAACTAAAATGGGTCGAGCAATGGCGTCTAATTTTTTTATCATGAGGATGCTTCAGTGATAAGCTTAAGTTCAGGTCACTTAATTGAAATATGAAATTCTTTCTACATTAAAAGTGTGTCAATACAAAAAATGCTTCTTTTTATTCAGTTAATTTCAAGTCTTCTTGAATCTTTTACTTAAAACCAGGAATAATCTTGTGTGAAAAAAAAGCCTAAAAAACAATGCTTGTTATACACTGGATTCATTAAGAGCCTTCATTATTATTACATATACACTAAGGAAATTACTTTTTGTGAAATTTGACAGTTTATGTAAAACCTTAATATACTGTCCCTAATTTAAACAGCGAAACCTCAACATGATGTCCCCCATTGAATATAATGCCCTTCATTTATACAGTAAATCTCTCATTCATATAGTAAATATATTGATCCTAATTTATAGAGTAAAACCTCATTTTTTACAGTAAAAGTAAAACCTCAATATACCGCTCCTCATTTATTACAATTAAATTCTCTACCACATTACCACCAACATATTTCAAGATTTTTTCTTTTCTTATTTCTTGACTAATTCCACTGCAATTTACCTTGATTATATATTGTCAAACTCAAATGTAATGCCAAAATTTCACAGGAGAAATGGCAGTTTACCTTTCACTGAAATGATATTCTGCTTATAGTTCAATGATAGACGTACCGACTGTTGAGAAACGGATGCCGACTGGCGTCTTCTTGCCCACGGACTCAAACAGCTTGGCCTTACAGTACTTTGTGATGTCGTGGGTTACCTCAAAGGTTCCAAAGGCACCTGAAAATAGAGTGTAAAAACTCAACATAAATAAAAATGTCCATGTACATGCCTTTACATAACATTATAACAGACATAACGGATTTAAAATTTCTCATTGAGACTTATACAGAGTTATCTCCCCCAACAGGATCATGTAGCTGCTACCCGAGTCAGACATTTTCTTGAAGATACTGATCTGTAACAATGTGACATTGATATTAGTGTAACAGTAGAAAGAGAAATACAACGGCCAGACCGGTGTTCAAACCCGGGACCTTCCGAACTCTAGATGCACACTCGATCTATTGAGCTACCTAGCTGGTCGCCGATGATCGACCCAGTCCAGTTCCGCTATATCCCTCCCTTCTTTTTCTCAGTCTTCGCACCCAATGACAACACTATTTACACATCCAGGTTGGGGTATCCCCTACATGTAGCTGCGATAACGTAGCTTCTGACGACGAGACATTTTTTTTTTATATATATATTGCGTCGTAGAGGAGGCTGGGTATTAATATTAGTACTAGTATCCCCTAGCTAAGCATTAATCCAAGGCTTTAAACGAGGGTTGTTAAGCTCCCCAATTTTGTAACAGGTGGAAGAGAAACATGCAATGGACGGAACGGGATTCAAACTCGGGACCTTCTGAACTCTGGACGAACGCATTGCCAATTGAGCTACCTGGTCTCCGATCATCGACCCAGTCAATTTCTTATGAATAAGTAATCAAAGGACTTGCAATTTATAATAGCCATAACAATTTATCATGCATTGCTTTTGACTTTTTCATTACCATGGGATTTTTTTGTATGATTAATACTTATTGGGGTTTATTCCTGGTCCAGGTATTGATTGTTACGTCATTGGTTTGTGTGAGAAAATGACGTCGTTTTCTCAAAAATTGATGACGTTACTCTCACAAACAAATGACGTAACAACCAATACCTGCTCTGAAGAGCAGATAACTCTGCAATACGCAAAGACGGAATACGTATATATACAGTATATTTTGTGTTTTCACAATTGGTACTGAATGTGAATTCTTGTTTTGTTTAAGTTTTGAGTTTTTTCAAAAGCTACTACAGTCATACGACAACAACAGTTATCCCCCTGTCATCTGGTAAACATGATGACGTCAGCTAGCAACGAGTCGGTGCTTAACTCATTCACCCCTAAACTTTCACAATGAACTATTCCAACCTTTAAATTGGAAGAGTTCAAATGTGTATTCAGGGGTGAGTGAGTCAATACAATATTTTGCGCCATATGGTAGATATTGGACTTGTGATAGTCACTAAAATAACATAAAATGCATACTGAATGAATCATATGATGCATAATGAATATATAATACCATAAAAATATCAGTCCATAATATGCATGTGATACTAGGCTTTAAATATTTTGAATTGTATGGCATGCTTTTTTTTTTTTTTTTACAAAATCGTGCAGACTGTTTGCTTTCGTAAATGTCTAAAGCACTGCAAATACAGAAATGTGACATAACAGGGGGAGAAGAATTTTAAATGACCCTGACTGAGACATGATGAATTCATACCGTAGCTTTCCGATCCCTTTGATATCGTAAAACATTAACACATGTACCAGTATGTAGCTATCATGTTGTCCTAAAAATAACGTGAGAATGTGCGACATCAAAAGATGTCATTTGAAATAAAAACAGGGAATTCGCAGGTAATCAGATCACGTTTCTGCCCTTTAAGAGATATTCTCGGCCTCGGGTGAGAGTCTCACTAATGCATTAACAAGTGTTAATTCAATGTCACCCTGTGACTGAGGATGCATAACACAGATCGAACACGGTATACTCACTGGTACCTGATTGTGACAGCTGACACCCATAACTTTATGACTGCTCTGGTGAATGGTATCTACTTAATGTACTTATTTAAGTCTGTCTTAATGTAAAAATACTGTAAGATCTCGTAAAATCTCGTAAAATCGGTTTGGATGACTTAAAGATTGTTAAAATTTAACCCACTCACCCCTAAAGTCAAATCTGGAGCTTACCCAATCAAAGACTGGGCAAGTCCAGTTAAGATATGTAGGGGTGTACGATGAGAAAATGTTGGTTACAGTTTATCTGGGGTCCAAAGAATTTTCTGTTTCGGAGAAACTACTAAGTAAACTGGCATGTCTTCCATTTTATTCTTAAAATTACTATACAGTTAAATGTCAACCATATCATTTACAACCCGTTCCTATTTTCTAGCCCTCGTTGTACCTTGCATGATTGTCGAGTAAACTACAAGCTCCTAACTTGTTCAACCAATAAATAACCCGTCGCACTTTCATGTCGTAATTCTATTACAATGACAGATTTATGATCTTCTATTTCCTCATACACTTTATAACCAGAACTTCCTCAGGTTGTGAATACATAATACAACATTCCCAATGATACTGTCAAATTCTGGTAGCGATTGTCAAGTAACAATTAAACATATTATACTCCACCTAACTCAAACAAACGTGATCATTACCTCAACAATCAGTGGTTTTGAACTTCTGTCTAAACCAAACATCACTAAATTATAAGTTTACAATAAAATCTGTCTAAACCAAACATCACTAAATTACAAGTTTACAATGAAACCTGTCTAAACCAAACAACACTAGAACACAAGTTTACAGGGAAACCTGTCTAAACCCAACATCACTAGAATACAAGTTTACGGTGAAACCTGTCTAAACCAAACATCACTAGATTAAAAGTTTACAATGAAACCTGTCTAAACCAAACATCACTAGATTATAAGTTTACAATGAAACCTGTCTAAACCAAACATCACTAGAATACAAGTTTACAGTGAAATCTGTCTATACCAAACATCACTAGATTACAAGTGTACAGTGAAACCTGTCTAAACCAATCATCACTAGATTATAAGTTTACAGTGAAACCTGTCTAAACCAAACATCACTAGAATACCAGTTTACAGTGAAACCTGTCTAAACCAAACATCACTAGAATACAAGTTTACAGTGAAACCTGTCTAAACCAAACAACACTAGAACACAAGTTTACAGAAACCTGTCTAAACCAAACATCACTAGATTATAAGTTTACAGTGAAACCTGTCTAAACCAAACATCACTAGAATACAGGTTTACAGTGAAACCTGTCTATACCAAACATCACTAGATTACAAGTTTACAGTGAAACCTGTCTATACCAAACATCACTAGATTACAAGTTTACAGTGAAACCTGTCTATACCAAACATCACTAGATTACAGGTGTACAGTGAAACCTGTCTATACCAAACATCACTAGATTACAAGTGTACAGTGAACCCTGTCTAAACCAAACATCACTAGAATACAAGTTTACGGTGAAACCTGTCTAAACCAAACATCCCTAGAATACAAGTTTACAGTAAAACCTGTCAAACCAAACATCACTAGAATACAAGTTTACAGTGAACCCTGACTAAACCAATCATCACTAGAATACAAGTTTACATTGAAACCTGTCTAAATCAAACATCACTAGATTATAAGTTTACAATGAACCCTGTCTAAACCAAACATCGCTAGAATACAAGTTTACATTGAAACCTGTCTAAACCAATCATCACTAGAATACAAGTTTACAGTGCAACCTGGCTCTGTAAATCAAACATTTCTAAAACAGTTTTCTTTCTTGTAGAATATTGATTTTGAAAAAACCTTTTATGAAATTTGTTCCTTGAAGAATTTACTGAAAACTGATTTTATTAGTCTGTATCATATTTCACAATACAAAGTGTTTTAAATCACCATTCAGGGTATAGAAATCTGGAGTAGTGTACATGTACACAGCGAGTCGAGAGGCGGAGCCAGGACCTCGTCCTATATAATACTCTCTGCTCTGCTGATTACAGTTAATGTCCATGAATTTCGCTGTCATTATTTTCTATCTACGTCATTGTGTATTGTCACCCTAAGCATCTAGTGTTACCGAAACGCAACCAGTAGCACAAAAATAACTTTATGGTTTTATCTGTGTATAAATCAAAAACATACAGTGTACTACAATAAATTTCCATAAACTTCACAAAACAATGTCCGCTTTTAAACAAATATTGGCAAAGGTGAATAAGCCCATTTTACTCTTTGTTAGGTGGAAAAAGAAAAATGAATATTTCAGCCAACAGAACTAGCGTTTTTAATCAGAACACACATAATATATTATGGTGAGAGACGAGGCTAGTACTTAGCTGTGTTTCAGCTATCCCGACCTGCCCTAGATTTTCCTGCCGACCGTAGAACAGTTCATCACCTACTTTTATCCAAGATTATTATATTAGCCAGGCAAATCTCACAATTACTCCTTAAAACTGTTCTTGGAGTCCGAACCCATTAATTCTTGACCACTAAAAAGCCATGTTAGTGTGTGGAAATGCATTGTAAAATTGCTTATAAAGCATGATATTGATCCATTAAAAAAAAACCACCACAATACTGACCTACCACGACCTACCCTGTTACATGAAACACACATAATTTTTTTCTGGCCTCTAAAATCAACTGAAAACGATTCCTCTTTAGGCCATCCTTAAAAAAAGTGTTTGTTTGCAGTTTCCATGCTTAATATTTTTTTTCAAGTGATAGATTAGATTTTTTCTATTAAAAATGGATTATCTCTATATAAAAATCTTAAGTTTCAGTGATTTTTAAGAAAGAAAAACATTTTTATACAAAAAGTCTCCAAAAAGGTTTGAGTAGGTGGCAATTTTAGTGAGTCGGTCGGGAAAAGACAAACAAACATTTTTTAAGTATGGCGTTATCTGTTTGGGTATTTATGGGATAGTGATGAAAAAGTCGATGTTTTATATGATTTAAGGCTATCGAACTGTATAGATGGTTACTTCACTATCTATCAATGTACACGTATCAGCTATCAAAAGACATCTATATGTAATATATATATATTTGATAGACGAGGACCATGTCTGTACGTATGAGGCTGTATATATTTGTTATCAACAATGCAACCTTTCTGTACAGGTAAGCATGTGATACGAATCAAAAGTCAATGTCCCATTTTACACTGTACCTACTGATCTTTACGGACAGGTAGCCAGGATTCTGCATTTTGTATTTCGTTATTTTTTTTTATCCTGTAAACAAAATTCACTCAATCGTGACACAGAAAGAAAAAGGTATTCTACATATTTTATAAAGTAACAAGTTGTGGATATTTTATTACGCTTTCAGTGATCTTGACGTTTGATAATTCTAAATGGCCTAATTTTTTGCTGTCACTTTTAAAATTCCATGCCCCATTTTTAGCCAAGTGCTGGTAAATTAATTCATATTTTTTCTGTCATAGACACAATATAAACACACGAAAATAAATGCCTGCTTGCCTATTTTTGTTGGTGTAACATTAAACGGACATATAATTTTGATTGGTGTAAGAATAAATCGGGTAAGCTGAGGACACTGACCTCCCCCCTTGGCGTGGACGACTCGTTCTGGGATGCGCTCCCTGTTGAAGTGGGCCATCTCATCTGTGAAGGTGAAGTCCTGAATAAGGACAGGCCCTCGTGGTCCAGCGGTCAGTGTGGCCGTCTTGGTGCCCACTGGGGCACCTGTTCCTGTGGTCAGCACATCTGCTTTCTGCAAAAAGCAGCAGTTAAATTCTGGTGAACAAATTGATTTAACAGATTGCACTGCTAGTTTTGAGTGAATATGAAGATCCATGAATTTCATCAAATCTTATTTCATTTATTAATTTATATATTAAATTCATTTATGTTTTCCATATATCATATATGTTAAATTAAAAAAAATGAGTAACCAGATTTACATGACATCTCTAAAGAACTCACAAACTTAAGTCAGGGCTATACCGACCAATGTACTATAATACACACATATTTACAGTTGACTTTACGACTGAAGTACCTAATGTCTTTTATAGTTTATACTAAAACATACCGATTGTGCTTTCTTGAATTCGTCCAGTTGATTCGCGGCTTTGTCTCTGTTTGCCATCTTTGCTAGATCCTGTCAGCTGCGTATTACGTCCCCGAGTTCCTAGAGTGTCTACCTAGAGTGTCGTAGTCCACAGTGATAAAAGTTTAATCACACCTATAGCTATACGGCTAGGTTATGTGCTATTTTTAGTTACCTACAATACACAAATGCATCTGTCGTAATAGGATCGACTGTCATTCATCCACTGCAGGGTCTCAAGTTTAAGGCAGACAGACAGGATGTCTTATTAATATATCTCAGCTTACAAAAATATTGTTACATATTTTTTTCTCAATATAAATTCATATGTATCTATAAATAATGTATAGTTAATAGCATGTATACATACAGACTAGAAAATCAACATTGACAAATATAGTGGATAATTGCCATACACATGTATATAAACTGTATATGTATAAAAAAATAATTAAGACTTCATATTTAAACAATACAAAGTCTTCATAAGATGAAACTATCTTCAGTTATATCGTATATATATTTATATGACTTTGCGATAAACTATGCAATGTCATCTAAATTTGAGTTTAATCACATGTCACTTGCAGTTCAAATGCAGACATTGGTTTTATTTATAAGTTAGTTTTTAAAAGAATACATATACTAATTCATCCTAATATGGAAAGACATGGACACTTTCTAGCTATATAGAAACATAAATGTATTCTATATTGCTCAGAATTGTTTTACCCGACATTCAAGAGCTTCTCTGACTCCGATTACCAGTGTGGGTTTCTATGACAAAATCCAAAATTCCAAAACTTACCAGTGCCGAATGATATTGTGAAGCTCATTATGTCAAGGTCCTTACATATTGTTTAAGCCTGGGCCATCTTCTGGAAATGTCCCATTCTCATTCACGTATCACCCGAGGGTGGGGTCTTCATCTTCCTTTTCAAACTGAACATTATCATACATGTGACATCCTCTCCTCTGGCGAAGCTGGCATTTCTGGTCGCCACACCGACCCACGCACTCCCTGTACGTGTATAGTAACACCTCCTTACACTGCCACCATTTGTCCAGAAAATAAATGGCATTATAAGGGAGTAAATGATTGGAAATGTATTTGTCAAGAGAATGTTTGGAATTATAAGGTGGTTAGTTGAGGGAAATGTATAAAAGGATTCTTAAGAAAACCAGAAAAGGGACATTGAAATATGTTGGTGGTAAAGTAGGTGGCGAATATAAGAATGGGCATTATATCGAGGTTTTACTGAATGTGGTTCTGCCATAGCCTGGGCCTGGGAATGGTTCCACTATAGTGCCCCAGTAGATTTCCTTCTCTCCAAATGGGATCCTGGGTGGTCTCTGAAGTTGGGTGGGGCAGAAGGTGGGGCAGGGGGTGGGTGTTATGGGCGCTAACTGCAGTAAATATGGTAGGGTGCAGTAATTTGAGACTCAAGAAAAACATTTAAAAGGAATACAGGAATGAGTGTGTGTAACACTGGGGCCATTCTATATATGTTAGATGATCAATCTATCTAAAGGGAGATATATAGCTCTAACACAATCACAGGTAAAATATGTTAGTTATGGGGGGNAAGACCTCTGTATGAGGCAATAAAATGATTAGACATCCTGCAAGCATACTTTTTATGTAATTTATTCAACATGAATTTCATTATATATTAATATCTCTGATGGTTCCTTATAGTCATTAAAGCAGACTGCATTTTTATTTTATCAAAATATATATGACATATGTATATTTCTATACTTACTACTGTATTCACTGTGATAAGCACCCCATCACATGCAAACTAGCTGAAGGGACACTTATTTACATAACTAAATATCTAGTTAGCGACTGTAAAATGCAGCAAAGGTAATGTAGAGCGTTCTAACTATCAAAGACATTCACAGGAAGAATTTCAAAATTGTTTATACTTTTTTCTAAAACAATGAAATAAGATCTTGTCTCACTGTAGTGTATTATACGTATTAAATGTATAGTACTATATTTTGTTACAAAAGAGGGCTAGAATGGCAGGTATGATTCGGAAAGGGGGCGCTATTTTCATTCCAATAAGTGACGAAAAGAGAATTTGGGGGCATTTAAATGACAAGGGCGCTAATTGCAGTAAATATGGTGGGGCAATAGTTTGAGACTCAAGATAAATATTTAAAAGCAACACAGGAATGTGTGCGTTTGTAACACTGGGGCTATTCTATATATGTTAGATGATCAATATATCTAAAGGGAGATAACTCTAACACAATCACAGGCAAAATGTGTCGGCTAATATACACCCTTAAGGCAAAATTGATGAGTGGAGGGATATCAGTATTTGAATTAAAGGAAACCCATTAATTGAATCAAATGGGTTCTTCATTCACGTTTACTGGTTCCGTTGCTTTTCCTGTGTTGTAAGGACGTTTCGCCATCCGAAGATCTGAAGTCGAATGTCGCGATATTTTCTTGTGTTTCCAGTATAGGCCCTGTAGCATATAAACACGGAGAATTAAGTTGTAATAGGGAAATAAATGCAATGAGAATCACCACCAAGATGACAGAAAGTTCGAACAAAACAGGCAGCACCACACCACTCACAGGTAATAGCCTCGTCTGTCAATGTATCCATGATGATATAGTAGCCCGGGTTTCCACTGGCCCTACCAGACATCCAGGCGCGAAACAACCTATGTAGCAAAAAAGCCCGGGCTTACACATCATTTTTGACAAAATAAAAAAAAATATAAACGCAACATAGACTATATGATATAACATATTAAAAAGCAATGACAGATGTTTTGTATCTGCTATAAAAACCGCCAACTAAAATGCTTCGTTACAATCAAAGTCTCTAACAAATGTAGAACTGAGGGTAGCATATTCATTCGGCATGGTAATCGCGCCAGTGAAACTCTAGTCTTGCTAACTATCGGTGTACCCAAACACTAACT